AATGACCTGAAGAGAGCTGGGACCACAGTCTCAAAGAAAACCATTAGTAACACACTACGCCGTCATGGATTAAAATCCTGCAGCGCACGCAAGGTCCCCCTGCTCAAGCCAGCGCATGTCCAGGCCCGTCTGAAGTTTGCCAATGACCATCTGGATGATCCAGAGGAGGAATGGGAGAAGGTCATATGGTCTGATGAGACAAAAATAGAGCTTTTTGGTCTAAACTCCACTCGCCGTGTTTGGAGGAAGAAGAAGGATGAGTACAACCCCAAGAACACCATCCCAACCGTGAAGCATGGAGGTGGAAACATAATTATTTGGGGATGCTTTTCTGCAAAGGGGACAGGACGACTGCACCGTATTGAGGGGAGGATGGATGGGGCCATGTATCGCGAGATCTTGGCCAACAACCTCCTTCCCTCAGTAAGAGCATTGAAGATGGGTCGTGGCTGGGTCTTCCAGCATGACAACGACCCGAAACACACAGCCAGGGCAACTAAGGAGTGGCTCTGTAAGAAGCATCTCAAGGTCCTGGAGTGGCCTAGCCAGTCTCCAGACCTGAACCCAATAGAACATCTTTGGAGGGAGCTGAAAGTCCTTATTGCCCAGCGACAGCCCCGAAACCTGAAGGATCTGGAGAAGGTCTGTATGGAGGAGTGGGCCAAAATCCCTGCTGCAGTGTGTGCAAACCTGGTCAAGACCTACAGGAAACATATTATCTCTGTAATTGCAAACAAAGGTTTCTGTACCAAATATTAAGTTCTGCTTTTCTGATGTATCAAATACTTATGTCATGCAATAAAATGCAAATTAATTACTTAAAAATCATACAATGTGATTTTCTGGATTTTTGTTTTAGATTCCGTCTCTCACAGTTGAAGTGTACCTATGATAAAAATGACAGACCTCTACATGCTTTGTAAGTAGGAAAACCTGCAAAATCGGCAGTGTATCAAATACTTGTTCTCCCCACTGTACATAAAAAAAAAAAAAGATTTTAAAAAAAGCTATTCAGACAGAATACATATCTACGTAGCTCTCTTTTTTCTGAGACAGAGATGGCCATGAAACCTTGAGATTTGCGACAATATAAGACCATCATAAAAATGTATACAACCATGACTCAGTGTGTGAACTTTCATGAACTTACATGATCCTAAAATGGAAATAGTTACTGTTGAAGTGTGAGGGCGTGAAGTGTCTGACAAAGACAGAATCTGGCTTTTCAGGGTGCAGTCTACATTTACGTTGCCAGGTAACACAGAACAGCAATCCGAGATGACCCACTAATACGATGAGCAACAGGCATCCCTGAATCACTGATACACACTGTAGCCTCAGAGAGCAGAATCTTGTGATATCACCCATTCAGACCCTATTCATCTCACGTGAAGAGGAGTCTGTCAAAAACGTCAATTGTTCACATCATATGTCTGTCTCTTTCTGTTATTGTGATGTCATCAGCAGCGGAGATTATAAGGCATTATAAGGCATTTATAACATGACAGCTGTGCCTCTCTTGCAGAGGCTTAATAATTTCCTAGAACCTTAAAGTCTAGATTCTATTCCAAATAGTGACTGCATATCAACTATCTGTATCAACTCAACTCATTGTCAACTTATTAAATGCATGCACCTATTACATGCAGTGAGATTGGTATGGCCAGGAAAAAAACATGATTGAACACAGCAGGAAAAAGCCATAGCCATTAAAAATTGTTCTGCTGATGCACCCTGGAAAACATTTAATGCATATTTCCCTGGCATCCGTCTCACATCCGCAGCTCATTGACTTGTGCCATTTATGACTGTGGAGCTGAGGTTCCAGTGTCACATAGTTAATGGCTACTGCCCTGTCATCCGGAGCAGGGCAGTCTGTTTCTTCAGTCTTAATGACAGCTCTGGCTTGAATACTCTTCATTAGGAGTCCCAGGGGCAGAATGCAAGGCACAGCAGATGAGGGGGCTGGGGCTGAGGGGTTGGAGGAATGGAGAGAGGCTGAGAGGGCTGAGGGACTTGGACTGAGAGGCTGGGGAGCTGGGGTGGACATTCTGGGGGGCTGGGGAGAGACAAGGGCAGGGCCGAGAAGACAAGTCAGTCTGTCACAGATGCCTCACCAGCATCTGAGCAGTTTACCAACAGGTCTGTGTGACACACCATATAATGAATTCTCAGACCAATGAGCGTGGCATTTGGAGAGATGCCTTGTTGTAACCTGCTGGGAGAATAACAAGGACTGAGAACACATGGCATTTTCAAAGCAGTGAAAATATAAACCCACTTGAGAGAATAAAATGGCATATTGCAAAGAAAATAATGTAGCTGTTAACTGAAACTGAACAGGTAAGTGGTATAACCGCAATTACAGTGCAGCCTACAATCAAATGTCAGACACAGCATGCATTTCCAGAAATACAAATGATCATATTGCATTTTGGATTCAAGAACTAAAAAAAAATCCTTTATGTTCAGCCTGTTTTCTTCAACAGAACAGAAACGTTCAACCCTTGTACAAGCAGCATCACTTGTTTTAATTGAATGTCTTGGCTTGAACCAGGGATTACTGAAAGCAATCATGCTTAATGTAGCGGCCATGTGACCCTACAGAGAGGGCCTGATCCTCTGGACACAGAAAGCAGCAAAGCGCCTTACCGAGACAGTCCACACTCCCTCCCTCGCTTCCCCTCCCTATCTTCGCCTTTCCCCTGTCCACTCTCCCAGGCCCCCAGGCCCCCTGGAGTCACATTCTATCTCTGGTCTGGTCTGAGAGGTCTGGCTGGTCACTGTGACCATGGCAACCGCATCAGCAGCGGACCACAGATGGCAGGTCCTTGGGACCATTAACAGGAAGTAGAGGTGAGGTGGGTTTCTTACAAATTGCCGTGGGAGCTGAAGACATGGCTCCACAGTAACCAAGCCATGACTCTCTGTAAAGTAATAGATTTGTTCTGGAGACTTGGTTGTGTAGGAGAGTAAGGTCTGCTACTGGAAAATGTTGTGTAATTATTTATTAGACAAGTGACACTCTTTAGATAAACCCATAAAGTAGAAATCGAAACCGAACATAAAATCTATTTCTCATTAGTTTGATTTATCATGAGCAAGTAAAATTATATTTGATCCATGGCCTGTGTTGCCTTTAACATTTATTTCTGTATTGTCTTTTATTATACTGAGAATACCTCCTATCAAATGTCACCCAGCAGATACATCTTATCGAATCCAAATAACAAACCATTAATGCCAAATAAACTATTGGGCGATAGCCAAGAGACATAGATAGGATAGTAGAGAGAAGGTGAGCGTTTTAAACCCCTCCACATCTCAGATGACTAATACCCCAGGAACGTAACCATCTCAGTGTTCATTTGTACCGACACGCGCCGCTGCCACCTCCCCTTCATTGAAATTACCTTTTACATTGCACTGTCAATTACATAGCACAGTCCCTTTTATATTGATTGAAGCATGGGAAGTCAAAAGTCATGTGAACGATCTGGAAGGGAATCTGGGAGAATAGATACTGTAAGGGTTAGCTCAGGACTGTATCAATGAAGGTAGTTGGCCTCTGTACTCTAATTACAAAATGGGTTGAAAGGCGAGGCCGATGCTGGCTGGTCCTGGAGGGCCTGGGGTGATGAACACTAGATAAAACATTCGTGCCTTCACTGTCCTCCAGGGCCCAGCTTACTCTGCTGCTTTTTACTGAGCTTCAGCATCAGCAACTACTTGATTAATTTCAAGCATTATTACTGAGTCAATTCCCCACATTTCCTAGATCTATATCAGATGCAGGCACTGCTGCCCCAATGTTTGGAGCTGAGCAGCAGCCCGACTGTGAAATATAATCACCTTCTTTGGCCCCTATCTTCCAGTCTGAAAAGTCCATATGGTCTAGGCTAATGTAATTCTCTAGTGAAATTTTTTTATAGATGGAGAGAAAAAATTCTAAATGTATATGCTCAGGTAAATTTGTACCAACAATATTGCTAGATGTATGATAGCAAATACACTGCCCCTGTTTTTCATCAAGCACATTTCTGAATTAGCGTGTCATTGCATGCATACTGCACCAGAATTACAATTACTGTACATTACAGAGTGCTGGAGTTGACAGCTTTCTGAAACCTCTTCCTACAGATTATGCAAATCACATCTATAAGAATCCCAGGGCATGGAAATGAATGACTAAGGTTAAATAAATTGATTATTCTCCTTATCCCCTCCCCTGTACCATCTAATTTCCTATTCCAATGTGACATTAGTGTCCTTGGAAGGTGAAAGGCTTCTTTAGGAGAGACTAGCGCAAGAATCTGAATCAACACTCATTCGAAAAAAGTTTCCAATCACATTCTGTATCTCACAGCAGAAATACCACTCATTATTTACATTTGTCATACACTCTAATCCAGAGCAATTTACAGGAACAATTAGGGCTAAGTGCCTTGCTCAAGGGCACGTCGGCAGCTTTCTCACCTAGTCGGCTCGGGGATTCGAACCAGCGACCTTTCAGATATTGGCCCAACGCGCTTAACCGCTAGGCTACCTGCCGCCCACTCATAGGCTGCGTTTACACAGGCAGGCCAAATTCAGATCTTTTTTTTCACTCATTCGTCTTTTGACCAATCAGTTCAGCTCTGAAAAATTTAATTTTTGTAATTTTTTTGTTTAACCTTTATTTAACCAGGTAAGCCAGTTGAGAACAAGTTCTCATTTTCAACTGCGACCTGGCCAAGATAAAGCAAAGCAGTGCGATAAGAAACAACAACACAGAGTTACATATGGGGTAAAACAAAACATAAAGTCAAAAATACAACAGAAAATATATATACAGTGTGTGCAAATGTAGCAAGCTATGGACGTAAGGCAATAAATAGGCCATAGTGCAAAATAATTACAATTTAGTATTAACACTGGAATGATAGATGTGCAAGAGATGATGTGCAAGTAGAGATAGTGTTCTAAGCACCGTACGCCTCTCCAGTCTAGTTTGTGTTAAAGAGAGTTTGAGTTGTTGACCCTGTTCTGAACTTAGTGTTTGTGCATCTGGCCATAACAACATCCAGACATCTGGCAGAGGTCCTGAGCTGACAGAATACAGGTCATCTCTACAGAGCAGAGTGCAGAATAACAGGGGATCAGACAAGACAACAATCCAACTCAGAATCCTAAGACGTTTTATTTCTTCTTTACTTCATGTGAAAAATACAACATAAATCACCTCTCATGATTAAGTAGGGAGTCACAAAGCACTGGACCATCTCATGTTATTACAAAGGGAGAGCAATAACAGAATGAGCCGCCATCAACCGTAGTCTTTTATATATACACTCTAGCAGACCAATGATTGCAGAGAAAACACTTGTCTTTTTCCAATACACTCAACAATAAAAAGCACTATAAAGCTAAAGGTTATAAAAAGGTAATGTCTGTTGTGTAACAGTTCACGTCTGTTTTCTTCTATACTGCGTTTGGACTGACTGGCTGTTTAAAGCTTTGGAACACACCACAGCACTGGGGTGTTGCATGGTCAGTCTCAAGAGACCAGACTCTCAGGGTCATCTTGTCTGTCTGCAACCCTGACCTACACATTTGTGGAGTGTGTCCATCTCAATCATCCAGCTGGTGACAGTGGGACCATGGCCATGGGGCTGACAGACTGTGTTTTTTACTGGGCCACAGACAGGGGGAGGTTGGAGGGACCGGGGTTGCTCTGTGGGGCGGGTGAGGACACAGAGGAGGAGGGCTGGGGAACGCTGGCAGCTGCAGGCTCCATCTTGCTAGTGTGGGTGATGAAACGCAGACGGAGCTTCATGGCCGGACGCAGGGTCAGGATGATCTTCTCCACCTGGGAATACACACACACACACACACACACACACACACACACACACACACACACACACACACACACACACACACACACACTCGACATTAAACACAACACTATGAGAGACAAGGGATAAGCTGGGAGGACAATTCAACTAATCTCTTCTGTACTACTACTGAGGAGACGCCAACTTCAGCCTTAGACCCTGAATTGAAGTGGGACGTGCAGCAAGTGACATCAAAGTAAAATACGTGGGAATGTTTGGAGGACAAACAAATTAGAATTTCAAATTCATGGTGTGTTGATATAGTTAGAGGAGGAGGGAAGAGGAGAGGCTGAATACCAATGCAGGACATGACAGAAAACCAAGTGAGCAAACATTTTGAGGTCAAGGAAAGGCATAGAGTACACAGTATTCAGGGTTAAAAGCAACACAAAATCCCACAACTGAAACTTAAGTCGATCACAGATGGATTGTCTGGGGCCAAATTAACCTCCTCTTTCATGTAAGAAAGTCATGACCAACATGCTGTTGGGGAAAGACGATCATTTTGTACATGTATTAAACTGCGAGTTTGACCAATTCCAGTCGCCTTGCTTAGGGGGTCCGGGGTTCTTTTATGTAGAAGGACTGAGAAGCTCAGTTCTGGTGAATTTTTAAACTACATTCTACTCCAAAAATTTATGAAAATAAAATGCTGCTGACACCATCTAAAATATAATTTCCACCTCCAGAAATGGGCCCAGTAACATATTGGTAGTATTTCAGTAAAAAGTATTTGAACATATTGGACCATTCATATAGCCTATGCATGGACTATATGATCAGATGTGCTATTAGCAATACGCATTATCACCTGTAACACAACTGATGAAGCATAGTGGCTATAAAATGTACAGTGCCTTCAGAAAGTATTCACACCCCTTGAATTTTTGTTGTGGTACAGCCTGAATTTACTGGCCTACACACAATACCCCATAATGTCCAAGCGGAATTATGTTTTTAGAAATGTTTACAAATTAATAAAAAATTAAAAGCTGAAATGTCTTGAGTCAATAAGTATTCCACCCCTTTGTTATGGCAAGCCTAAATAAGTTCAGGAGGAAAAATGTGCTTAACAAGTTGCATAATAAGTTGTATGGACTCGTGTGCAATAATAGTGTTTAACATGATTTTTGAATGACTACCTCTGTACCCCACACATACAATTATCTGTAAGGCCCCTCAGTCGAGCAGTGAATTTCAAACACAAATTCAACCACAAAGAACAGGGAGGTTTTCCAATGCCTCGCAAAGAAGAGCATCTATTGGTAAAGAAAAAATATATATTCCTGTTTGTAAAAATGCACTAAAGTGAAACTGCTAAAAATGTGGCAAAGAATTTAACTGTATATCCTGAATACAAAGCGTTGTTTGGGGCAAATCCAATGCAACACATCACTGAGTACCACTCTTCATATTTTCAAGTGTGGTGGCTGCATCATGTTGTCATCGGCAAGGACCAGGGAGTTTTTTTTAGGATAAAAATAAACGGAATAGAGCTAAGCACAGGCAAAATCCTAGTGGAAAACTTGGTTCAGTCTGCTTTCCAACAGACACTGGGAGACAAATTCACCTTTCAGCAGGACAATAACCTAAAACACAAGGTCAAATATACACTGGAGTTGAATACCAAGACGACAGTGAATGTTCCTGAGTGGCCTAGTTATAGTTTTGACTTAGAAATCGGCTTGAAAATCTATAGCAAGACTTGGAAATGGCTGTCTAGCAATGATCAACAACCAACATGACAGAGCTTGAAATTTAAAAAAGAATGTGCAAACATTTCAAAAACATGTTTTCACTTTGTCATCAATTGAATCCATTTTGAATTCAGGCTGTAACAACAAAAATGTGGAATAAGTCAAGGGGTAGGAATACTTTCTGAAGGCACTTGAAGAATGGGGTTTGGTCATCTGCATTTACCCCATAGGACACAACATCCTGATTGTTATTATTATTAATAATAAATGAATATTTTATTATAAATACATAAATCATTATTTACTCGAAAAGTAAACAATTTTACGTTTCTATTACAAAGTATGTCATTTTAAGATGACATTGCCCATTTAAGAGCTCTGTTGCACAGCTGCGCCTAAACCATGCTCGAAACTCTGGTTGTAAAACTGCATTTTTAAACAATGCCACCCGCGCAATTTAAGGAGTAGATAAATAAACGTGGTAGCAATGGAAAACTGAGGGCCCACCCTTTTTTAACAAAGGCCAAAACTGCTTTCAAAATATATTATGTCAAAACTGCTTTCAAAAGTGTTTTCCCATGATTGCATTCCAAATTGTTGTGCATTGACTGCTTTCCCTCCTATGGCCCTCGCAACTTGAATGCGCCTCGAGAGGAATACTTATCTCACATAGAACACACAACAAGCCGACTAGGTAAATAAAGTGAACTATTCTACTATGGGGTTGTCGGATTTTGTTTTAATAACAACATTACATGCCATAAATAGGAGCAGTGGAAAGTTCCATCCTGAGTGATAAAGTATACGCTTTGAATTACTTTGCCCGTCCCCGTCCCCGTCCCCGTCACAGTAATGGAGAACTTTAACCCAAGTATTTCTCTAACCTGGTCTTTGACGCTGTCCCCGGTGAACATGTACTTGATGTGGTAGAGGAAGTCACAGATGGGGTCCATGTAGGACAGGTGTTGACTGTGCTGGTCCACAGCCTGTAGCATCTCATAGAATGCCACTCCAATCTGCAGTTCACAACACACACATAAATGCGTAGATCGTTAAAAAAGGCACAGACAAATCAGTCACTGATTGAATGGCGATGGTGGGTCACACATCTGATTAACACAAAGCCAGAGTGAAAAACAGAATGAATGGCTATTTCTAAGAATGACTATTTTTGTCCGAGCACCTTCCAGGGGGTGGCAGGCTGGTCAACAGCAGTACTGCAGATTCATTAGAGCTGTCCATGGGAAGCCACAGCACAACCCAGCACAGAGCCACTGCCTCTTGGGAGAGGAGACCAAGGACCTTAACCCTCCCGCTCCTCTCCACAAACAACAGGATTTCTTAGTGAGCCACCTAATTCCCCTTTAATCTACCCAGCTATTGTCCATTTTCTGGGGGTTAGATCTGTGGCAATGGGGCGCCAGCACTGGGGCTTAACCTCAGGGCCACACGTACATGTCACACATACGAACGTTCACACACACACACGCACGCACGCACGCACACACACACCATCAGCTCTATTCTCTGTAATGGTCAAGGGAGTGTGAAAGGGAATTTAATTTACAGGCCTTTTGTGTGGGATTGTATGGTATAATAGGGTTGTATTAGGGTTGTACTGGGAGATGGAGGAGGGGGGTATATATTGACAGGAGTAGTCAGTACCTCCAGCATGCAGCGGGTCCTCTCCTGTTGGAAGCGCTGGAGGAAGGGCCCCACCAGGTGGTACACGTAGAGGAGCTGGAACTCTGTCTTCACTATGGGCTTCAGCACCTCAGACAGGAACCTGGGGAGGGACAGGAGAGAATATGTTACACTTCTCGTAAAGAGAGATCGAGACTGAAGAGGAGAGAATGGACTGCTCTCTTTCAAAGACATGCTGGGATGGAGGAGAAAAGGACTGAAGAAGAAAGTAGTGGAAGGCTTTGTAAAGCCAAGCACCTGATGTTCAAAGCGACTAAGGCTCGAACTGTGAGAGCTGTATGCAAATGGAAGAAGACTATCATGAATTTAAATGATAATTGACAGGGTTTTCTGAACAGAGACAGTGGAATATAAACCACAGGTACAGCAGAACCAAAGCCTCAGTGTGGTCGTAGATGACAAGATAGATCCCAGGTGTCTGTGTGTGTGCAGAGTTTTTCCAGAGCGAGCTGTGTGTGATCTGTGTTCCAGAAGCGTCAGTGTGAGGCGTACACACTTGGCTGCCCATGCCACTGGGGGTGCGTCTCGTCACCGGGCTCTGTTGTCAGGATGCCGCGGCGCCTGCTGAGATCTCCCACGTGTCACGGCCCACAGTGATGATGACAGCCCGGGGATAGCAGCAGCCTGCCTGTCACTATAACGCGGTAGAGTGGAAGCGCTAACACAAACACTGGCTGAGAGGAGTCACCAAGGTAATGACTGCCTGGCAAGGAGAGGTCATCGTATATCTTGCCCACTCAGATTCTGATTGGCTTGGCACGTCCTAGAGAATGGCTTTTGAATATAAATTGCTTTTGCAGTATTTCTGGTTGCTTTTCAAATTCAAAAGTAAACAATATTGGGCCTCCCGAGTGGCGCAGCGGTCTAAGGCATCACTACAGACCCAGGTTTGATCACAGGCTGTGTTACAGCCGGACGTGACCGGGAGACCCATGAGGCAGCGCACAATTGTCCCAGCATGGGACAAGACTAACTACCAACTGGATATCACGAAATTGGGGAGAAAAAGAGGCAAAAAATATATACAGCTGTGGAAAAAATTAAGAGACCACTGCAAATGTTTCTTAAATCAGCATCTCTACATGTATGACAGCCATTCCATTCCAGTGTCTGTTGAATTCCAACACAGGCACACCTCATTCTACTGACTTAGGTACTGATTAGGTGATCACATGAACCAAATCTTATTTAACGAGGAAAAGTATAAAAACCACTGCTGTGGTCATCACTATCCTCTTGCAATAGGACCAGCTGGATGGCAAAAACAGTGCTAATAGTACCTCAAAAGTAATATTAATCAAAAAAGAACTATTGACCATGCCAAAAGAGTTGAAAAGGAAAGTTTTGAGTGAGGAAAAGAAGGTTTCAATTCTGGCTTTACTAGCAGAGGGATACAGTGAGCGGCAGGTTGCTTCCATCCTTAAAATTTCAAAAGACAGCGGTTCATAAGAACAAGGTCAAACAGTAGACATTGGGGACAACAAAGCTACAGACCGGCAGAGGGCGAAAAACGACTCTACTGACCGGGATGACCGCCAACTCATTCGAATGTCACTCAACAACTGTAGGATGACATCAAGTGACCTACAAAAAGAATGGCAAACGGCAGCTGGGGTGAAGTGCACGGCGAGGACGGTTCGAAACAGGCTCCTAGGGGCAGGGCTGAAGTCGTGCAAAGCTAGAAAAAAGCCCTTTATCAATGAGAAGCAAAGAAGAGCCAGGCTGAGGTTTGCAAAAGACCATAAGGATTGGACCGTAGAGGACTGGAGTAAGGTCATCTTCTCTGATGAGTCCAATTATCAGCTTTGCCCAACACCTGGTCGTCTAATGGTTAGACGGAGACCTGGAGAGGCCTACAAGCCACAGTGTCTCGCACCCACTGTGAAATTTGGAGGATCGGTGATGATCTGGGGGTGCTTCAGCAAGGCTGGAATCGGGCAGATTTGTCTTTGTGAAGGACGCATTAATCAAGCCACGTACAAGGTTGTCCTGGAAGAAAACTTGCTTCCTTTTGCTCTGACATTGTTCCCCAACTCTGAGGATTGGTTTTTCCAGCAGGACAATGCACCATGCCACACAGCCAGGTCAATCAAGGTGTGGATGGAGGACCACCAGATCAAGACCCTGTCATGGCCAGCCCAATCTCCAGACCTGAACCCCATTGAAAACTTCTGGAATGTGATCAAGAGGAAGATGGATGGTCACAAGCCATCAAACAAAGCCGAGCTGCTTGAATTTTTGCGCCAGGAGTGGCATAAAGTCACCCAACATCAATGTGAAAGACTGGTGGAGAGCATGCCAAGACGCATGAAAGCTGTGATTGAAAATCAGGGTTATTCCACCAAATATTGATTTCTGAACTCTTCCTAAGTTAAAACATTAGTATTGTGTTGTTTAAAAATGAACATGAACTTATTTTCTTTGCATTATTCGAGGTCTGACAACACTGCATCTTTTTTGTTATTTTGACCAGTTGTCATTTTCTGCAAATAAATTCTCTAAATGACAATATTTTTATTTGGAATTTGGGAGAAATGTTGTCAGTAGTTTATAGAATAAAACAAAAATGTTATTTTTACCCAAACACATACCTATAAATAGTAAAACCAGAGAAACTGATAATTTTGCAGTGGTCTCTTAAGTTTTTCCGCAGCTGTATATATATATTTTTTTTAAAGAAATGTTTACAATATTTCATAATCTGTGAAATCTGAGATACTATTCAGGTAGAACATGCATATAAATGTTATTGGACCAATGAAAATGTAGGCATATATGCACCAATTCCTGAAATTAGAATCCCCATGCTCATTCCAATTTAAGGGCACATTACTCATCTTAAACAGTAGCATCACATAATGTCAGAGAGCTGTAGCCAGCCCAGTAGATAGTGACTGTACTTCTCTGAGTCTCATCATAAGGCCTTTCCATCTGCTTCATGGTAATGTAATCCCAGCAGGCCAGGGCTCTGCTGTCATTTTACATGACAGTCTGGCGGAAGCACAGGAGCACAAGGGCACTTTGGGCTTGAAGTCCAGCGAGGCCTGAACACACAGTGTTATAGGGGGAGATATTCCCAGGCTAGATGAGAAGGCCTGCTAAGCTAAGCCTGAGCTGGGAGGCAGCAGGACTATCCCTCTGTGATTGAACACAGGGTAGGAGTGGAGCAGACAGTCTTAACTAAACCCCATCTGATATAAGTCAGACGTGGGCTTGGGCTGGTAGGGGCCTGAGCTGAGGGAGGGGGCAAGATGGTGGGGATGGAGGGAGAAGGGGTAAGGAGTGAGAGAGAGGAGGCTAGAGGGGCTATTTCCCAATTATTTCTCCTTCCTCCCAAAGTGTGTACTTGTTCACTTCCCTTCAGTCATTTGAAAGTAAATGGCCTTTTATCAATTAGATTTGCTCACCTCCTACATCCTCTCTCCTCCATCCCCTCCTTTTGAAAAAGGTCAGTTAATCGAGAAGAGTCGGAGAGGAGAGTGAACGTGGATGGAAATGCGCTTGCTTGAATTGAGATGGTCCTTCTCCACTAGCGCATCATTAGGAAAATGACATTTACAGGGCTGGATCCCAAAATAAATGTGTAAAGTGATCAAAACAAATTAAGTTACAGTTGAAGTCGGAAGTTTACATACACCTTAGCCAAAGACATTTAAACTCAGTTTTTCACAATTCCTGACATTTAATCCTAGTAACAATTCCCTGTCTTAGGTCAGTTTATTTTAAGAATGTGAAATGTCAGAATAATAGTAGAGAGAATGCTTTATTTCAGCTTTTATTTCTTTCATCACATTCCCAGTGGGTCAGAAGTTTACATAAACTCAATTAGTATTTGGTAGCATTGCCTTTAAATTGTTTAACTTGGGTCAAACGTTTCGGGTAGCCTTCCACAAGCTTCCCACAATAAGTTGGGTGAATTTTGGCCCATTCCTCATGACAGAGCTGGTGTAACTGAGTCCGGTTTGTAGGCCTCCTTGCTCGCACACGCTTTTTCTATAGCATTGAGGTCAGGGCTTTGTGATGGCCACTCCAATACCTTGACTTTGTTGTCCTTAAGCCATTTTGCCACAACTCTGGAAGTATGCTTGGGGTCATTGTCCATTTGGAAGACCCATTTGCAACCAAGCTTTAACTTCCTGACTGATGTCTTGAGATGTTTCTTCAATATATCCACATAATTTTCCTTCCTCATGATGCCATCTATTTTGTGAAGTGCACCAGTCCCTCCTGCAGCAAAGCACCCCCACAGCATGATGCTGCCACCCCCCTGCTTCACGGTTGGGATGGTGTTCTTCGGCTTGCAAGCATCCCACTTTTTCCTCCAAACATAACAATGGTCATTATGGCCAAACAGTTCTATTTTTGTTTCATCAGACCAGAGGAAATATCTCCAAAAAGTACGATCTTTGACCCCATGTGCAGTTGCAAACCGTAGTCTGGCTTTTTTATGGCGGTTTTGGAGCAGTGGCTTCTTCCTTGCTGAGCGGCCTTTCAGGTTATGTCGATATAGGACTCGTTTTACTGTGGATATACAGTGGGGAGAACAAGTATTTGATACACTGCCGATTTTGCAGGTTTTCCTACTTACAAAGCATGTAGAGGTCTGTTATTTTTATCATAGGTACACTTCAACTGTGAGAGACGGAATCGAAAACAAAAATCCAGAAAATCACATTGTATGATTTTTAAGTAATTAATTTGCATTTTATTGCATGACATAAGTATTTGATCAACTACCAACCAGTAAGAATTCCGGCTCTCACAGACCTGTTAGTTTTTCTTTAAGAAGCCCTCCTGTTCTCCATTCATTACCTGTATTAACTGCACCTGTTTGAACTCGTTACCTGTATAAAAGACACTTGTCCACACACTCAATCAAACAGACTCCAACCTCTCCACAATGGCCAAGACCAGAGAGCTGTGTAAGGACATCAGGGATAAAATTGTAGACCTGCACAAGGCTGGGATGGGCTACAGGACAATAGGCAAGCAGCTTGGCGAGAAGGCAACAACTGTTGGCGCAATTATTAGAAAATGGAAGAAGTTCAAGATGACGGTCAATCATCCTTGGTCTGGGGCTCCATGCAAGATCTCACCTCGTGGGGCATCAATGATCATGAGGAAGGTGAGGGATCAGCCCAGAACTACACGGCAGGACCTGGTCAATGACCTGAAGAGAGCCGTCATGGATTAAAATCCTGCAGCACACGCAAGGTCCCCCTGCTCAAGCCAGCGCATTTCCAGGCCCATCTGAAGTTTTCCAATGACCATCTGGATGATCCAGAGGAGGAATGGGAGAAGGTCATGTGGTCTGATGAGACACAAATAGAATAGAAGGATGAGTACAACCCCAAGAACACCATCCCAACCGTGAAGCATGGAGGTGGAAACATCATTCTTTGTGGATGCTTTTCTGCAAAGGGGACAGGACGACTGCACCGTATTGAGGGGAGGATGGATGGGGCCATGTATCGCGAGATCTTGGCCAAGAACCTCCTTCCCTCAGTAAGAGCATTGAAGATGGGTCGTGGCTGGGTCTTCCAGCATGACAACGACCCGAAACACAAAGCCAGGGCAACTAAGGAGTGGCTCTGTAAGAAGCATCTCAAGGTCCTGGAGTGGCCTAGCCAGTCTCCAGACCTGAACCCAATAGAAAATCTTTGGAGGGAGCTGAAAGTCCGTATTGCCCAGCGACAGCCCCGAAACCTGAAGGATCTGGAGAAGGTCTGCATGGAGGAGTGGGCCAAAATCCCTGCTGCAGTGTGTGCAAACCTGGTCAAGACCTACAGGAAACGTATGATCGCTGTAATTGCAAACAAAGGTTTCTGTACCAAATATTAAGTTCTGCTTTTCTGATGTATCAAATACTTATGTCATGCAATAAAATGGAAATTAATTACTTAAAAATCATACAATGTGATTTTCTGGATTTTTGTTTTAGATTCCGTCTCTCACAGTTGAAGTGTACCTATGATAAAAATTACAGACCTCTACATGCTTTGTAAGTAGGAAAACCTGCAAAATTGGCAGTGTATAAAATACACAAAGGTCCTTTGCTGCTGTTCTGGGATTGATTTGCACTTTTCGCACCAAAGTACGCATCTCCTTCCTGAGCGGTATGATGGCTGCGTGGTCCCATGGTGTTTATACTTGCGTACTATTGTTTGTACAGATGAACGTGGTACCTTCAGGCATTTGGAAATTGCTCCCAAGGATGAACCAGACTTGTGGAGGTCTACAATGTTTTTTCTGATGGCTTTTGATTTTCCCATGATGTCAAGCAAAGAGGCACTGAGTCTGAAGGTAGGCCTTGAAATACATCCACAGGTACACCTCCAATTGACTAAAATGATGTCAATTAGCCTATCAGAAGCTTCTAAAGCCACAACATTATTTTCTGGAATTTTCCAAGCTGTTTAAAAGGCACAGTCAACTTAGTGTATGTAAACTTCTGACCCACTGGAATTGTGATAGTGAATTATAAGTGAAATAAACTGTCTGTAAACAATTGATGGAAAAATGACTTTTATCATGCACAAAGTAGATGTCCTAACCGACTTGCCAAAACTATAGTTTGTTAACAAGAAATTTGTGGAGTGGTTGAAAAATAAGTGTATGTAAACTTCCGACTTCAACTGTAGATGTTCAAGATATTTTGATAAACCAATAAGTAGCATATTGTTTTTAAACGTGGGCATGTTTTTCTCCTCTGACAAAACAATAGCTGATTCAAAGGGGGTGTGGCAGATTTCAAAACTCTTCCGTGGTAGGATACACAAGTATCCTCGATGAAAGATGGCTATCGAAGAGGGGAGGACACTCTTCCGTTTGCCTACCAAGCAATTGACACACTCCTCAACCACTTATCGGTTTCCTGGTCACGGAGGATAGAGGACAGAGGACAGAGGAAGGAGGATGGTCTTTTGCCCAAACGAGAAAACCCCATTGACTGATATAAGAAATATGGTGGAAACTGCCACTACCCCATGTCTCCACCAATCCAATGCTTTTAGATTTGTGGGAAGTAGTGAATGAGTGTAGACTTCAGAAGAAAGGAGGTATTATTGGGACGTACCCCATGACTGGAGGGCCTTACTTGGTGAGGAGAGTTAGGAGCAGAGCTACTGGTGGACCAGGACTAGAGGGCTGGAGAACAGCTAATCAGGGGGCAGCTGGTGGACCAGGACTAGAGGGCTGGAGAACAGCTAATCAGGGGGCAGCTGGTGGACCAGGACTAGAGGGCTGGAGAACAGCTAATCAGGGGGCAGCTGGTGGACCAGGACTAGAGGGCTGGAGAACAGCTAATCAGGGGGCAGCTGGTGGACCAGGACTAGAGGGCTGGAGAACAGCTAATCAGGGGGCAGCTGGTGGACCAGGACTAGAGGGCTGGAGAACAGCTAATCAGGGGGCTACTGTTGGGTCTTACTTGGGAATAAGGGAGAGCTGTCCGATGCTGGAGTGGTGCCACACGGCGTGGGCCAGGGCCAGCACGTAGCTGCAGTACATCTCGGAGTAGGACTGGTGGTAGGCGGTGAAGTCCAGCAGCGCGAAGGGGTACCCCACCCACTCAGTCTCTGTGGTGAGGCACGGACTGCCCAGCACACTCACAATACGGTCCTGCAGGACCACCCAGTAAGGCTCCTAGAGAGACGAAAGAGACACGCAGACACAGACAGACACGCATACCGTTTAGCTCACGTTTCAGACCTTAGAGAGGCTTCCAGACAGTTCTCTGGAGTCTGGAGGACAGCTGAAGGATGTAGATGTTTATTTGGGTAAAGCTGTCACTACTGTCTGGCTGCACAGAATTACATTGTGAGCAGTAAGACCAACAATTTATGGACTTTGTTTTTCATGGATAGTGGAAACTTTGCTGTGGGCCGTAGACTACAGATTCCTGGCGCAATATGTTGCTGATATGTAACAAAGCCTTTGTGCTAGTGTGTGTGTGTGAACAGAGCTGAGTCTTACAGGCAAGGCAGTGATCACCAGGCCGATAGCGTTCATCCAGGCTGTGATGTTCTCCCGAGGCACCAGCGGTTGGCTGTGAGGGAGGTCACATGACATGACATGACATCAAGAGGCCAATCAATCACAACACCATACAGATACAGACACTGTCATCTAGAGGGGCACACAGGTCTAACTGAGCTCTGCAGAAAGCTAACACACTGCAGTGATTCAGCACCACTTTAAGATTACTCATCCTCCATTCCTCACACAATAACATCTGCATAATGAGGGAACATTTACACACGCATCAAGAGAGCAGTGCAATCAACATACAAGACTGTGGTTGTTTATATAGCCTAGAGACCGTTCAATCTCCCCTCTAATTGGCTGCTTACTGGCCCCTGTTTGATCTATGACCCCATTCTGACCTCTTGAGGACGACGCTGAGCAGGGCGTTGCCCACCTCCTTGCCGGGCACTGCTAGGGCCATCAGCTCTACACAGGTGACGTGGAGAGCATGGGCGGCCGGGTTGGGGAACTCGTTGAATCTCCAGTCACAGTTAGGGAACGGCCCGGGGGACTTGCCAGCCATCGGTGAGACAGCAGGTCAAGGATGATACTGAAGATACTCATCATTGGGAGAGCACTCCATCTACACAACAGTGTGTGAATACACCATAGACTGTTATTCTAGGAAATAATTTCTAGCAATCTAGCACATCAACTATTCCCTCACAGATGTTATAAGACTACTTTTCATCAGTCTGAACATCCCAACAGGACAGAGACATAGAAAACTGTCTGATAATGATTTGGACAGGTCAAATGTGCTCCGGCATAAACAACAAGAAAGGATATTGTCGACGAGGCGTCCGATGAGCTTGCAGTAGTAGGTGTCATCGGGGATCCAGATGTTGTCTTCACGGGGGTTCATGCCACACTTGATGTAGGTCTCACTCAGGCACCAGCCTGGCGCCCGGTTGTCCTTCAGAGAGCTCATGATGGCGTGCACCAGCTTCCTCTTCAGGTTGGTGCGTTCACGCAGGTGACGCTCGTAGTAGTGGAGCGTGTTGTACAGGTAGGTCACCGGACGGTCTGGAGACGACACAGAGAAACACACACTTCAGTTAGTTCAATTAGACCCACCATCTGAACAGACCTCATCACATCACATCATTCCAAATGTACAAGCATAACATTGATTAATAAAGGGGTTTTCTATCAGTGCTCTTTCGAGATGTTAGTATACCCCCCAGGCTGTATATACAATCAAAGCAACAGACCAGAACTATTCCCCATGTTCTTCTCCCCTTCCCTCACCGTGGAACTTGTAGAGTCCTCCCAGGTGGTCCAGTAAGGTCTCCAGGGACTTGGAGACAGGCAGCAGCTCCAGGAAGCGGTGGATGACAATGTCAAAGACGGGCAGGAAGCGCAGGCACACGTTACCAAAGTAGATGGGCAGGTAGTGGGACTGCTGCTGCATGGGTGGGTTCACCTGCTCTGCCAAGCCCTCAAAGTACAGCTTCTCCGGGTATTTCTGTTATCATAGGGAAGAAAACAACAGTCCAAGTCAAATGGAACTGTATCACCTTTAAGCTTTATTAAAAGAGCAAGCTTGGGAGCAGTGAAACAGTGAGTGGAGGTTATTCAGTCACCACAGTAGAACAGATGGAGACTTAACCCAGCTAACTCCACAGAAGGCTCAGTTGAAATCCCAGCCCAGCCAATGTAAATGTCACATTTAAAAACAGGGCCAAATGTCAACAGGCAACGGTGCAGGCTGAACTATAGTGGCCGCCCGTTGACATTTACGTTCGTATCGCCTTGAACCCCTCTCTGTGCTCAGTGGTTCTTTTCAGACGGTCTTTCAGGCAGCGTTGCTCTTTTCATGCTGGAGCTGTCAGTCAGACCTCCAGGGTTGGGGCCAGTACGGTACCTTGTGGTAGGCCATGTGCTTGGTGTGCCAGTCGCTCTGCAGCCAGTGCTCGGGGGCGTTCTCCTTGACGAAGTCGGAGACACGGTTGCGGAAGTCGTTGGGCTTGAGGAGGAGGAGCTGGATGATGAAGTAGCAGACCTGGGCCTCATTACCCTCGTGACTCCTCATGGCCTGGAGAGGAGAAGGGGGAGGAGAGGGAGATAAGATAAGAGCGAGGGAAGTGATTGGGAAGAGGTTAGTAGGGAATTAAACATTGTTATATCACAACTGAACCAGATTTATATTGAACAATGAGATATTAATGTACATCATCTGAAAACGTAATTATTAATGTGACTGAAGCTTTCAAATACTTAATTTGAGGAAAACCATATGACTGGCCCATAGTTTCAAATGCATTGTCTCATCCTTACCAGACACAGGATGAGTCTGTCCAGCGTGACAATGTTGTACTTCCACACCATGTCGTTGAGGATCTCGATACACTTGTTGAGCTGCTGGCCACCGGCCGACGTGGAGAACTCATAGACCAGGAAGTCTGCAAACGTCCTGACATGGGCCACCAGCGCCCGCGCCCCGATCCTCTCCAGAACCCTGGGGCAAGACAGGACACACGGCTGGTCAGGAGGACGGCCTCGTCTCACAACACACAGACAGACAGACACATGCACAGTCACACGTCAAATTAACATAATGTACAGTACCATTGCTTGTTTACCATGAGTCATCATTACTAGTTAGTATTCATTCCTCTGAATTCAAAAGGCCATCTGTCAATAACACAATTACTTCATGATTCAACGCAAAGCTGTTATCTCAAACACCATCAGCACTCTTACAGCAATCATCAACACAAACAACCACCAAACAGCTTTCTGACACCATCTGCTTCTAGTGCGTGTGTGAGTGTATGTGTCGGTGTGTTATTATTATTATTATTATTATAACAGCATTCAGAAGCTGAGAGCCAAACCTAGGGCCCCCAGCAGCCCCTTCCCATTGGTAGTGCCCCTTTGGGTGGCCTTCCTACCACCCCACCTGGCCCTACATTTTTTTACATTTAAGTCATTTAGCAGACGCTCTTATCCAGAGCGACTTACAGTGCATACATTAATATATATATATATATTTTTTCATACCCCCTGTGGGAATCGAACCCACAACCCTGGCGTTGCAAACACCATGCTCTACCAACTGAGCTACATCCCTGCCGGCCATTCCCTCCCCTACCCTGGGCCAATTGCGCGCCGCCCCACGGGTCTACCACAACCACAACCACCACTGACATCTCCCAATCCCCCAGGCTCCAGCTTCCTAGCAGACAGGCCCTATTTAGAGGACAGGAAGAGAGCAGTTTTACTGTACCAGCTCAGTTGTATTAACAGGCTGTCATTACCAGCAGCCAGTCACCGCAAAAGCGGGAGCACTATCCCATCAAAGTCCTTAGTCACGTCTTAAAAGCCCTGTTGCAAAATACCTTTCACTGGCGGTAAATCATATTACAAATGGTGGCGTGCGGTGCATGAACACCTACTCGAGGAAAGCCATCACTCTCGACTGGGTAGTGACGTAAAGAGCCCAGGCAGGTTTACAGTAGAGAAGGCTATTCTCATTCCTCACACTTAAACTCTGTGTGGGACAGAGGGAGAGGCCACAGATTCTTTCCTACAGACGAGAGATGGAGAGAGAAAGAGGGAGAGTTGGAAAGAAAGTGCCAGGGAGGGATAGAGATAGAGAGAGAGGGAGAGAGAGAGAGGGATAGAAGGTGCTTGGGAGGGAGTCATTGGAGTGTTTAAGAACTTTTGCAGAAACTCTCTCCGGAGGGTTATGCAAACAACAGGCCTTCACAGCCAATTCACTCCTCCTGCCTGGTGATAAGCAGAAAAGCTCTGCTCTCCAATCCCCTCAAACCCCTGGCCTGCAGAGAAAGCAGACAGCACATAGCCTCTATGGAACAGTAGCACTCATCACATGCCAGAAATCTGGCTCCAGGGATTGGTTGTGATGCTGTGCTGATTTCCACACTGTAAGATGGAATCAGCAACAGCACTTTAGCAGGACGGCACTGACTACAGGTTGTCAGGCAGTCGCCATGACTTCTGCTTCAGAAAGTACTTTAAAACTGCCTTGCTAGTACAGACTGTGTCTTGGGAAAAAAGCTCAGAGAAATAAATTAAAAACACAAGATGATAGCGGCAGCGGAGCTGTATTGGTGCTGTCAGAGCGTGTCGAGGTTATTATCTCCCAGAGCTCGTGATTAGAATGACAAGTGTGATGTTGAGGAGAGGTAGGTCTGTGTGTGTGGTCAGGCTTTTCCATCCACAAAACCGTCCTTTGTCTGGAGAGGGAGCAGCTGCACCACAGGGAAGCCATGCCCTCTTTTTCCCACTCACTTAACATTCACAGAACTCAGCCAATCAGAATGTTGACCTTATTAAAATGGTCCCAGGTTACCTTATACTATTTATTAATGACCATACATCAGCAGGACAATGAGAACAAATCTACAGTATATGGTCCTGCTACCGTTAAATATGAATTGATGTGAAGAGATGTTGAACTTCAAACGTTGATTAATGTGTACTGTCTCTGTCAAACACATTTAATAAACGCACAAATAAAATGGTTAAGTGTTGTGCAACCAGTGTGTGATCATGTGTAAAATAGAATAGAAAAGAAGTGAATACTTTGTGGTGTACCTGAAGCCGATCTGGTTGATGTGGTCAGTCTCCAGCAGCATCTTCCAAAGCAGACACAGGAAGAGGGGCGGCGATCCCTGCATGGAGAAGTGGGTGATGATGTCGTTCTCATTGGTCATGCTCTTCCACTTCCTGTATTCCTCCTCCACGTTCTTCTTCAGGTTGAAGCGGCTCTCCTGGGGAACGTTGTTCTGCTTGAAGAACGCCTGGGGGAACACGCACACAGATATGTGTTTTTCTTAATTCTCTATGGCTGCCCCCGTAGACATAAACCCTAATCCCAGTTAGTGACTATCTCTCTGTACCTGAAGAGGAGCAGGGAAGCAGCTAAGGGTGTGAGAGGCCCAGTTATGAGGAGTAAAGTTCATGATGGTCTGCAGGATGTCCTTACACCACGTACCCTGGATGGAGTCAGAGCCTGTGAAGAAATCTGGACCAGAGAAAGCAGTGGAAGGAAAATTAGTCTTGGGTTAGGATAACGTTTTGTTAATGCTAACCTACTAGTCAGCATTACACTGACCTATAATGAGTTTCACAACCATTATCAGACACGTGTTAAATGTTGAAGTAACATTACATATTCACTACCGGTCAAAAGTTTTAGAACACCTACTCATTCAAGGGTTTTTCTTTATTTTTACTATTTTCTACATTGTAGAATAACAGCGAAGATATCAAAGCTATGAAATAACACATATGGAATCATGTAGTAACCAAATAAGTGTTAAACATATTTGAGATTTTTCAAAGTAGCCACCCTTTGCCTTGATGACAGACAGCTTTGCACACTCTTGGCATTCTCTCAACCAGCTTCACCTGGAATGCTTTTCCAACAGTCTTGAAGGAGTTCCCACATATGCTGAGCACTTGTTGGCTGCTTTTCCTTCACTCTGCCTTCACAAAGACATGATGGTTTTTGCGACTGCACTTGAAGAAACTTTCAAAGTTCTTGACATTTTCCGTATTGACTGACCTTCATGTCTTAAAGTATTGATGGATTGTTGTTTCTCTTTGCTTATTTGAGCTGTTCTTGCCATAATATGGACTTGGTCTTTTACCAAATTGGGCTATCTTCTGTATAGGTGACTACCTCATGAAGCTGGTTGAGAGAATGCCAAGAGTGTACAAAGCTGTCATCAAGGCAAAGGGTGGTTATTTGAAGAATCTCAAATATAAAATATATTTTGATTTGTTTAACACTTTCTTGGTTACTACATGATTCCATATGTGTTATTTCATAGTTTTGATGTCTTCACTATTATTCTACAATGTAGAAAATAGTACAAATAAAGAAAAACCCTTGAATGAGCAGGTGTTCTAAAACTTTTGACCAGTAGTGTAGGTTAGATAGATGCAGACCTGTGACGTGGGTGGCTCTGGCCAGAGTGAGGATGAGGGCACGATTGAGCTCCTCAGATTCAGCTGACAGCACCGTTTTGGGGTCACTGAGGAAGCGGGTGAACTGAGGCTGAACCTCGGAACTCCCTAACGCTGTGATCAACCTTAACGCTGTGCTCTCAACACTGAGGACACAGAAACAGGAAGACAAAAAGGTTACTTTTATATGACAGTAAAAGCTAGTGTTTATGTACAGAGTTGCGTCTTTGCAAAGCGCTGACCCATTTCTATGTTTATATGGAACGTTCTTATTGAATTGACAATGAATTACTTCCGCTCAATAGCACATCATTCCTCTTTACATTTTAAGACACTGTTGTATAACACCTTGGCTTGCACTGGCTTGACCCCAGAGTATAGACTAGTACTAAATCCTTTCTGGTCTTATGTTTCTGTCAGAGTCAGCATGATTGTAATAAGCCCTGCCTGCCTACGCAGGAGCTCAAGGACCTGTAACCCCTGTGGTGCTGACCACGTACAGTGAGGGAAAAAAGTATTTGATCCCCTGCTGATTTTGTACGTTTGCCCACTGACAAAGAAATGATCAGTCTATAATTTTAATGGTAGGTTTATTTGAACAGTGAGAGACAGAATAACAACAACAAAATCCAGAAAAACGCATGTCAAAAATGTTATAAATTGATTTGCATTTTAATGAGGGAAATAAGTATTTGACCCCTCTGCAAAACATGACTTAGTACTTGGTGGCAAAACCCTTGTTGGCAATCACAGAGGTCAGATGTTTCTTGTAGTTGGCCACCAGGTTTGCACACATCTCAGGAGGGATTTTGTCCCACTCCTCTTTGCAGATCTTCTCCAAGTCATTAAGGTTTCGAGCCTGATGCTTGGCAACTCAAACCTTCAGCTCCCTCCACAGATTTTCTATGGGATTAAGGTCTGGAGACTGGCTAGGCCACTCCTTAATGTGCTTCTTCTTGAGCCACTCCTTTGTTGCCTTGGCCGTGTGTTTTGGGTCATTGTCATGCTGGAATACCCATCCACGACCCATTTTCAATGCCCTGGCTGAGGGAAGGAGGTTCTCACCTAAGATTTGACGGTACATGGCCCCGTCCATCGTCCCTTTGATGCGGTGAAGTTGTCCTGTCCCTTTAACAGAAAAACACCCCCAAAGCATAATGTTTCCACCTCAACGTTTGACGGTGGGGATGGTGTTCTTGGGGTCATAGGCAGCATTCCTCCTCCTCCAAACACGGCGAGTTGAGTTGATGTCAAAGAGCTCGATTTTGGTCTCATCTGACCACAACACTTTCACCCAGTTCTCCTCTGAATCATTCAGATGTTCATTGGCAAACTTCAGACGGGCCTGTATGTGCTTTCTTGAGCAGGGGGACCTTGCGGGCGCTGCAGGATTTCAGTCCTTCACGGCATAGCGTGTTACCAATTGTTTTCTTGGTGACTATGGACCCAGCTGCCTTGAGATCATTGACAAGATCCTCCCGTGTAGTTCTGGGCTGATTCCTCACCGTTCTCATGTTCATTGCAACTCCACGAGGTGAGATCTTGCATGGAGCCCCAGGCCGAGGGAGATTGACAGTTATTTTGTGTTTCTTCCATTTGCGAATAATCGCACCAACTGTTGTCACCTTCTCACCAAGCTGCTTGGCGATGGTCTTGTAGCCCATTCCAGCCTTGTGTAGGTCTACAATCTTGTCCCTGACATCCTTGGAGAGCTCTTTGGTCTTGGCCATGGTGGAGAGTTTGGAATCTGATTGATTGATTGCTTCTGTGGACAGGTGTCTTTTATACAGGTAACAAGCTGAGATTAGGAGCACTCCCTTTAAGAGTGTGCTCCTAATCTCAGCTCGTTACCTGTATAAAAGACACCTGGGAGCCAGAAATCTTTCTGATTGAGAGGGGGTCAAATACTTATTTCCCTCATTAAAATGCAAATCAATTTATTACATTTTTGACATGCGTTTTTCTGGATATTTTTTTTGTTATTCTGTCTCTCACTGTTCAAATAAACCTACCATTAAAATTATAGACTGATCATTTCTTTGTCAGTGGGCAAATGTACAAAATCAGCAGGGGATCAAATACTTTTTTTCCCCTCACTGTAGGTGAAGCCAGGAGTTTTTACTGGCCAAATTACCTAACCAGGAAATATTCAGGGCCCTAGTTATATTATATAATTACAACTAGGGTGTGGAGTGTTTCCTGGTCAGATCACAAGGTCAGAAAAAATCTCCTGGGCCCAGTTGCATAAAACATCTTAAGTAATTTTCCCTTACCTAAGGGAATTGTTTAAGGGCGTTGCATAGAGCTCCTCAAATATTCCTTTACGTAAGGGCATACTTAAGGGGTTTTATGGTAGTTTGAAGGTATGTACTGTAGAAAGAGTATCTGGTTACCATGGAGACTGCCTGATTCACTGACAAAACATATTGTCAAAGAGATCACATTTATTTTGTGAGATAGTAAAATAGAACGTCTACAATCAAAACAGGACAACCAAATTCCTTCAGATGATTATAAACCACGTTTCTTGTAGTTACTTTTTTCTCAACTTGTTTCTATTACTTGCTAGCACTTCAAGCTAGCTTACAGAGTAGCTAGCTAACTAGCCAGCTAACTTTGTAGCCATGGACTGTGCATCTTCCATTGTTTAGCTAAGTAGCTAGCTGGTTGATGTGTTCCTTTTGTAGCCAGGGCAGATGAAAGCAACATTCACCTCCACAAATGCTGTTTACATTTATAGTCATACTGAATGAAGCAGTTAAGGGACCTCAAGGGCACCTTTAACTTTTTCACTTAATTAAAGGGGGGAATTCAACTTAAAATGTTTTGTGCAACTGACTTATTAAAATTAAGGAAACTTTAAGGGAAAAGATAAGGGGGGAAATTAACTTAAGGTGTTTTATGCAACCGGGCCCTGGCCCTAAAAATGGTGTCTGACTGTGCCTGATCCTGTGGTTACTGACCAGAGGTGCAGCTGGTTCTGGTTGGTCTGGGGCACGGCAGCAAGCGAGTGCAGGTGACTGAGCAGCTGGACGCGGTAGTGGGGCTGGATGTGGTGCATACGGTAGCTGAACATCTCCAGCAGAGTGTGAAGGATGCCCCAGGCGTGGGACTTGAACACATTGGGCAGGAGCTGGCCTGGTAAAACAGAACATCATGTTGTTGTAGTTAGAACATCTGTGATCCATTTGTAATACAGTTAAGCTGGCCATGCTGCCGCTCAGGCCAGGGTCGAACACAGCAGGGAGAAAACATTTGGAAACTGGGAGCTACAAACTGAACTTGTCAAATAAGAACACACATTTTAGTTTTTCCGTTGCAAAACATTTTGTTATGGTGTGCCTTTCTGAACATGAACCAGGTCTCTTTTTGAAAAAATGCAGGCAGGGATTGATAAGGTCTATAAGGGGATTCAGAGACTGCAGGACTTACTGATGAATCCTTTGATGCCCAGAGATTCTATCTCCATGTAGACCAGCAGTCTGCTGTAGGTCTCCACCAGGGCTGGGGCCAGGGCGATGCTGGACTTGGCGTGGGCCAACTTGATCACCCGCGTGGCGATGCTATGGATCAGGCTGAACGTACAGGAGAAATGTGAATGAGATTTGACTAATGTATGCAGTTTTCACCTTATTTATTATGCTTTGATCACAAATCTGTCAGAATACTACTTATGCAAGTGTTGGTATTTGCAGAAAATAGCTGAATGTTCGAGGCATTATTGGCTCAGAAATTGCAGATGGCTTTATTGTAAAATGAATAAGCACTGAATCATCTGCAAAGCAGCCAGAGCAGATTAAAAAAAAAAGTAGAACCCACTCATCTGTAAAAATAGCTTTTAGGTTGAAATGGATGGATGCTGTTTAAACTCATCACTATCACCCTCTATCCTTTGGTTGTAAATGGCAACTAACAGCAGGGAGAATACAACAGTGATCAACAGGAGAGGGAGAAGACATCACTCTTCAACGCTCTCATCTGTTCTTTGTAATTTAGCACAGAGCCATTTCATTTCATACACCCTGGGCTACACTAAACCGAGCGGGGGAAAATGACAACGTGTAAATGTTATGTGTTTAAATTCAAACGAATTATCCAAGCCTTATTGCATTTTAAATAGGGCAGTTTAAATGTGAATAAAATTGCATAATGGCATGTCCTTAAAAAAAAAAAACTTGGCAGGGGTCTAAAATAATGCATTTAAGTAGATTATTATTAGCAAAGCATTTCAAGCAGGGTGTTTTTTTAGTTAATTAAAAACACCATAGGATGCATCCTCAAGTCTTTCTGTAAGCCTCCCGTAGACTGAGACTGTTCCATTCTTACTTCAATAACCCCTAGTAAGAGCTCTAACTAAATGAAGTATTACTTTGGATGTTGCTGTGATATCCTGACAGCACCAACGAAAGGAACAGTAGTAGTGGTTGTAGGGACTATAGATACAGTATCTATCTCTATGGTAAGCATTGCCCACCTCATCTTGGCGTGGACGGTGAGGGAGTCCAGGAGGTTCATGGGTAGTGGTGTGACAGAGCCTGATGCGGTACAGTTGGTGCCAGGCAGGGTGATGCGCATGCTGCCGTTGCCATAGATAGTCTCCACCAGCACGCCCATGGGCAGAGTGAAGCACTCGGAGTTAGTGGAGTAGGCATTACACAGCAGGGCGATCTTATAGTCTGTCATCCCCAGGGACTTGTTCCTCAGGCTCTGCTGGAGAAACCTAAACACAAAAGGACAGGTAGAATACAATATTACAGGGGATAGGAGGCAATCAGTTTAAATGCAATCGAATCCCAGATTTGAGATGTTGCTTTTATCTCAAACTGACTATCAAGGCATCACAAATCATGCATCTGTGAGTTACAGTGCATTCGGAAAGTATTCAGATCCCTTGACTTTTTCCACATTTTGTTACATTACAGCCTTATTCTAAAATGGATTCAATTGTTTTGTTTTTCTCATCAATTTACACACAATACCCCATTATGACAAAGCAAAAACAGGTTTTTAGAAATGTTTGCAAATGTATAAATAAATAAAAACTGAAATATCACATTTACGTAAGTATTCAGACCCTTTACTTTGTTGAAGCACCTTTGGCAGCGATTACAGCCTTGAGTTTTCTTGGGCATGACGGTACAAGCTTGGCACACCTGTATGGGAGTTTCTCCCATTCTTCTCTGCAGATCCTCTCAAGCTCTGTCAGGTTGGATGGGGAGCGTCGCTGCACAGCTATTTTCAGGTCTCTCCAGAGATGTTCGATTGGGTTCAAGTCCGGTCTCTGGCTGGGCCACTCAAGGGCATTCAGAGACTTGTCCCGAAGCCATTCCTGCGTTGTCTTGGCTGTGTGCTTAGGGTCGTTGTCCTATTGGAAGGTGAACCTTCGCCCCAGTCGGAGGTCCTGAGTGCTCTGGAGCAGGTTTTCATCAAGGATCTCTCTGTACTTTGCTCCGTTCATCTTTCCCTCGATCACCTCCCTGACCAAGGCCCTTATCCCCCGACCGGGCGGCCAGCTTTAGGAAGAGTCTAGGTGGTTCCAAACTTCTTCCATTTAAGAATAATGGAGGCCACTGTGTTCTTGGGGACCTTCAATGCTGCAGACATTTTTTAGTACCCTTCCCCAGATCGGTGCCTCAACACAATCCTGTCTTGGAGCTCTACGGACAATTCCTTCGACCTCATGGCTTGGTTTTTGCTCTGACATGCACTGTCAACTGTGGGACCTTATATAGACAGGCGTGTGTCTTTCCAAGTCATTTCCAATCAATTGAATTTACCACAGGTGGACTCCAATTAGGTTGTAGAAACATCTCAAGGATGATCAATGGAAACAGGATGCACCTGAGCTCAATTTTGAGTCTCATAGCAAAGGGTCTGAATACTTATGTAAATAAGGTATTTGTTTTTTGCAAAACAAATCTAAAAACCTGTTATCGCTTTGTCATTATGGAGTGTATTGTGTGTAGATTGATGAGAAAAAAAGTATAATGTAATCAATTTTAGAATAAGGATGTAACGTAACAAAATGTTACAAAGGTCAAGGGGTCTGAATACTTTCCAAATGCACGGTATACTGCAAGTTGGTGACCACTGACTACTAACACTTTTAGACTGGCTGCCTAAGTGATTCCTTATGAGCTTTCTAGTAGACAACATGACATACAAGAGCTGGTGTTAAGTACCTATTGGTCTCTAAAGGTAGAGCTGCTGTTTTGACATTCTCTCTCTGCGGGACCAGCTGTCAGGACCTCTGAATGCTCGGCTATGAAAAGCCAACTGACATTTACTCCTGAGGTGTTGAACTGATGCACTCGCTATAACCACTGTGGTTATTATTTTACCCAGCTGGTCATCTATGAACGTTTGAACGTCTTTAAGAACAATCTGACCTTAATGGCCATGTACTCTTATAATCTCCACCCTGCACAGCCAGAAGAGGACTGGCCACCCCTCAGAGCCTGGTTCCTCTCTAGGTTTCTTCCTAGGTTCCTGCCTTCCTAGGGAGTTTTTCCTAGCCACTGTGCTTTTGCATCTGCATTGCTTGCTCTTTGAGGTTTTAGGCTGGGTATCTGTATAAACACTTTGTGACAACTGCTAGTGTAAAATTGGCTTTTTAAAATACATTTGATTGATTGATTGATAGAGGAGACAGTCTCTTACTCATGATGCAGCTTGAGGGAGTGGGGGATGGGGATCTGCAGCTTGGAGTTGTCGTTCTGAGCCTTGCGGTTCAGGTGGATCCAGATGCATGTCATGGCGAAGGCGTGGGTCGACTGGGGCTTGCTGATGTCCGGCACCGGGATGCACTGTAGAGAAACACACACATCACAATGTCTCTAGTCATCCCAATAAAACCTTAAATAAATCATCAATTCATATCAATATCTTCTAAATGAAGTAGACACCAAGTAAATGGTTTCATCACCTGACTAGTATAATGTATTATGTCACTAAACATTTCACTCATTCATTCACAATTGGCTGTTTCATCATTGGTCAGAAAGCTAATAAATATCCACTTAGCTCTGGGCTAAGATGGACGAGTCAGCCATGATTGTGTGTTAGTGCAGCATTTGTAAACACATCCAGTATTGCATGCTAATGGTAGATTTGGCTGGAAGTCAATTGGGGGAGATGGAGATGGGGCTGCAGATGCCTTAATTGCGTCCCCTTGGAGACAGCAGCTCCAGATGCAGCTCAGAGTGGAGCCCACTGGCTCCTGCAGCGTTGCTCCGACAGACGGAGGAGCTGAAACAACAGACGTACACACACTGTGGCTACCTCTTTCTCTGGGTAGAGCAGATCGAACAGCTTCATGACAGGGAGAAAGTCAGCCAGGGCGTTCTTCTGGATGCTGCCAGATATGAACTGGAGGAGGACCCACATGAGGTGGTCTCTGCCTTTGATCAGGCCTCGACCAGCCAGCTGAGGAGCAACACACACAAGACACACATTTTAGACATCGTCTGTATAACAGTCTCTCTGTCTCACACACTAATTTCATCCGCTAATGGTAAAAATGAAGCAAGAACAAGAATAGAGCATTAACGATATTAGGACAAATGACTGTGTCCACTTCTATAAAAGTGTCTGTCTGTGTTTCAATCAACACCATCCCACCTTCTGGTGAAGAGAGAGCACCATGTGTGGGAAGCTGGCGAACTGGAAGAGCACAAAGAAAATGAGCTGGCTGGAGAGGTGCTGCCACAGGAGCTGGCTGGTGCCGCCATCGTCAAACTGCTCCTCGGTCTCCGAGCGCTCCATGGCGTACACCACCAGGTCCACCAGCTGGTCCTCGAGCACCGGGCAGCGCTGCTTGTGCTGTGAGGGGGAGAGCCCAGAGAGACGGGTGTCAGAGGTCAGAGAGGGATGTAAAACACAGGAAATGTACCTCATACAGGGAATTCAGCACTGGCCCATACTTCACCAAAACAAGTGAAATCAGCATACAGTGGATTGATTTTAGTTCCATTCCCTCTTACTCCACCCCAAACACGGTTTCACAGCAACATCAGTCAAGCCACTTCGCACAAACGGGAGTCTCAGAAATGTTGGGTACAAACAGAGCTTGTCCCTGGCACACAGATGGTACACACTCACTCAAACACACACACACACAAAACAGAGCATGACATGAAGACTACACCACTGCCAAAGAAAGCCCAGATCCCAGAGTAGCTGCACTATATCACCACATTGGTCACTTTTGCTTTCAAATAATTGATCAAGTCATTTCAGTAATCTATCAAATGTAATTTAGCTGTTAAGCCAATATTTTCTCAACAGGTGGTGCTCTGCACATTTACAATCAGTCTTACGCTGAATAAATAATGGCTTGTGGTCAAAAGGTTCACTGAAAAACAAAGCTGATAGACTGAGAACAAGCTTAGATATACCCAGTCTGTTTGTTCTGACACCACAAAAGGTATTTTCTCTCTCGGATATACTGCAGCTGCCCCCTGAAAGTGGCATGCAGGTATAGAACACACTGCCATTCATCTCAACACCACACTGTGAGCAGAGGGTAGCATCATCTCCAACGGCTGGGGGGGGATACAGTGGTACAACACATGCTCTTCTGAGATGGGGGTTTCTTTACTGGATTAAGGCTGGTCTGATGATAGTGTCCAACCAATGGCCTTGGTTTATGGAATCTAAAGAGTTAAAGCAATCTTCGATGGAATTATATATACAGTAGGTTTTTGGGGCCTTTTTGCAGTCTTTTTTTAAATGTTTCTGATAGAGAGCCAGGACCAAAGATAGGTCAAAGTAATAATTCTTTTGAAATGTAAGAAGGCTACTTTTAGTAAGGCTCAGGACATTGCATTAGGAAAACAATTCAATCAGAAGATTGCTTTCACCATGACTTTTGGCAGACCCAAAGTAATTTGTCAGTCAGCACATGATTCATAGTAGCTTTTGAACCAAATCATCACTGTTGTGGTGGATGTGTCAAAATCCAATAATGTAACCTCAATGGCAAAATACATATTTGATCATGCTCCTATGTGAACAAAGACATGGCCAATTCCGGACATTCCCGGAATGCATTTAAATCTACTACCTTGCAACAAAATGATAGAAACAGCATAGCCTATCCAGTGTCAACATTCAAATGGAAAACTCTTGCAGTGCAAACGTCAAGATACACCTGAACCACAGTTGAAAGACAGGACTATACTACATTACGGCATGCAGCAGATCAGGGCTTGAAATTAACGTGTCATTCTAAGGTACGTACACCTCTAGTTTCAAACACAAAATGTCCAATCCTCTTTGCTGATTTGGTAATGTTGCAGCATGTTTGAAATTGTAAATATATAATGATTTATAACATGCTTTTGTTTCATTCAAAAATAATATATGTAGGCTATTAAATTCAAGGACATTGGAATGGGGAAGGAATTAGTGTATTCAATAATATAACACACCAAAGTAGATCCTAATAATATCAAATTTGCACGTGGCAATTGATACAATTGGTTCACATTTCACTACTTTGTATACAAGCATTTTTCCTTGAGATCTCACAAGAGCTTTTACAATGCTGTTCCGCACATTCTTAGAATTGCAAAATGATTTCAACAATATGAATTCATAGTCTATCTAATGCAGGGAGACTAAATGGGCAGTGGAGTTAGCCACCATTAAATTAGAATCTAAGTAAATCACTTAACTAGATTTGCCACAGTGTACAGGCAGTTGAAATAGTGTTTCAATTGTGTCTAGCTATGTATACAGGTGACATTGCACATTTATTTGATTTGAAATTCAAGTAGAATAATCTATGAAAGACAGAGAGGTAAAATAATTGTCAAGTTGCTGTGTTTTTGGATTTGTGTACAGGCTCTTGGGACGCAAGATGAAATTCTGAAACCCAAGACTGAACACAACACATCTATGTTCTTAAAAAACAGCTTTGAGAGATGTCTCGACAGACAGCAACAGCCACAGCATTAAAACTCCAATGAGATGAGACATCTATGGACCACACTACGTGGCCAACAAGGGGAGCTGAACTGCAGACCCTTGCACATCATGTCAATGTGATGCATTGTCATATCAGCTCTTTCACACGCTCTTGGACATCGGTCTTTATCTAAGGTAATTTCAAGCCCTATGTTTTGCTTTATTTCTCGTTTTCTTTGGTGGTCTAGACGTGATCAGTGTGACTAGGAAGCTGCGTCCAGTATCTGGTTAGTCACAATACAACAGGAAGATTGTGAACATACCTGAGCAATGTTCAAGGTCTAGAGCATTGGAGGATGGGCAGGGCAAGACAGGACAGAACAAAAAGAAAGAAAGAAAAAAGGAAAAAACAAAACAGTGACTAGGAGGCCAGCTCCAAGTTCCCCTGTCAGTCAGTAAAGCCTGAGTACTCCTAAGAGACACATCAATTGAACGTGACGGGGCATATTAACTGGTGTATTCCCTTACACCAATACTGGTTGTTGTTGTTGCTTGTCCCTGGGCCAACGGGGCAGAGTCAGACAGAACTTGAAACACAGTTGATTTGAGCTGCCAAGCAGGGCTGGGGGTAAACATAGCGCACTGAAGTGGCAGGGAGTAGATTGGAGGCTGGCCTTATAGAAACAAAGCAATGCAAACCATTGTTGTTTGCCTTCATCTGGATTCTACAGGTAATCAGATGCACTAAATACAGTACAAGACAGCTCACGTGATAGGCTGGTCATCTGGAGCATCCTGGGCTTGTGTACCGTACCTGTGTTATCAAGAGCAAGGGAGGAGGAAGGGGAGAGCTGACAGGGCAGGGCAGGAGAGGAGAAGTACCTGCTTGTTGAGCCCTAACATGTTGCAGACCATGTCTCGAGAGTAGGGCTGCTCCAGCACATATCGCAGCAGCCCTGTCTGTGGTTCAAACAGGTCCTGGGGGAGAAACACCAACATCCTTTGACAAAAGCTTTGACAAACAGGCGTTACACTGTCTGGGTAAAGGATTTCTATGGTGGTGATAAGTATGATAGGTTTAGGAGTAGTACCTTGTCGAAGGGCAGCATGCCCCTGAGAGGGAAGCGTAACGTGGTGGGGTCCAGCTTCCAGGAGTTGCAGATAGCTCCAGAGTTGTTGACCACTGGAAGGAGGCTGCATCTCCCTACAGATCAAACATATGATAAGTCATTTAAAGTCCTCTGAACAATACTCCCAAATAAATATATTTATCTCACAACTGCTCAATACCAAGCAGGTTACGTGCAAATAGTGGCCTTACCACAGATGGAGTTAATTCTTGCAGTGGGCCGAAAGCTGTCAACAAAATCTGACATGAGACTGCCCAGAAGCTAGAATACAAGAGAAGGATAGGGTGAAAGACTGACCAGTTCAGATGCTATTTATCTCAGTTCAAATCAATTCATCATCCACACAAATGACATGAATATAGCCTGGTTAAAAACATACCCAGTGTGACAATGTCCCCTCGGGATAGAGTTTTCTGATCTCTGTAATGGCAAAGTAGGCAGGCAGGAGGCACGCGTTCCTGTCGAGGATGTACTCCACCACCTGTGAGGTGATATACAAACATCTCAGCAGGTTAATTCAACCTGAAATCCCCAAACTCTTGTGAAAAAGCCTATGGCTGGAAAGGCGGCGTACCTCTCGGGCAGCTAGCAGCTGCTGGACCACTGCTGAGCTAACGGTGTTGGGAATGGTCTGAATCTTGTCCAGCAGAGCCTTCAGTAGATCTCTAACTCCCTGTGATGTAACACAATGAAGCACATCATTCATGTTATTACAATAGTAGATAATATCCTATAATACATACAGTATGTAATAAAACTATTTACACTGTTGTATACGACTTCCATTTCTCTATGCTGAATGCTATCCTACGATCTCTAGTCACGTTGATTGAGATCAAGCACATTGTTTCTTACCTTGTAATCCACACCACCGATGATTTTCCGTATGAGTCGAAAAGTCAAGGCCCATAACTGTGTCCGCTCCCACTCCAGGTTATCTGAGCTTATGAGAGCCTGACACACCATCCTGAGAAAACAGGACAATTCATTCTTCTGTCCGCAGCACAATCCACAACACTAGTCATTTTCTCACAGAGGAAAACACATCCTTACCTGGGAGGTAACAGGCTGGTTTCCACTGCCATGGCGAGGCAATCATAGAGAAAAGAGATCCGTTTGGGGCTGTGCTGGCCATGAATGAACCGGACAATCCACTGCACACACTGATCATGGGAATCCTGAAGAAAGCAGCAAACTGTCTCGTTACTGCTGAGGTATTACAGAAACAAGTGCAGTGTATAGGGTTTGAATGATGTTAGATGCTGCATGTGTCAAATCTTGGGCATCTCTCTCACCGGAGGAAGAGTGCTCCAATACTGACGAAAGGCACCTAGACAACTGATAAGTTTTGTTCTCTCATCCTCAGGTGTGTCCATAAACATGCTGAGAAGAAAGATGAGAAGGCATTAAATACACAAGTACTATAACAAATTGTATGACACAGAATAGGTTTTTTTATACTGCACTTCATATTTAACTGGGATGCAGACAGTGCACATCTGGCCTAGCTATGTCTTCACAAAACAAGTCTGCTTGAGCAGTCTTACCCTGCAAAGGCTTCCTCAATAACTTCTGTTTTCTGAAAAAGAAAATGAAGTTTTCAGTGAATAGACCATCAATGGAGTAATGCTTAGAATATGTTACACTCGACAAAAATTACCTAGCTAGCACACTTAGGGTTAACGCCGGACCCCGTGTATCTCAGTTGGTAGAGCATGGGTTGTGGGTTCGATTCCCACGGGGGGGCAGTATGAAAAGGTATGCACTCACTAACTGTAAGTCGCTCTGGATAAGAGCGTCTGCTAAATGACTAAAAATGTTTGTTTGTTTTTTTATGTAAAACGTGCACGATCTAAGGGTGCATTCATTACGGAAACCGTTTGCCGTTTAAGAACCAAACGGAAGCAAACAGAGTAAACGGAACAAAACGGGGAGGGACCTACCTGAATTTGTCCGATAGACTCGTTTGCGTTTTCGAGTAAACGGATTCTGTTGCAAAACGTTTTGCAACAGAATCGGCATAATGATTACACCCCTGCTGTCACAGGCTAACGTTAGCCATGACATTTTTTTTTATTTTACCTTTATTTAACTAGGCAAGTCAGTTAAGAACAAATTCTTATTTACAATCACGGCCTACACCGGCCAAACCCGGACGACGCTGGGCCAATTGTGCGCCGCCCTTTGGGACTCCACTTCACCGCCGGTTGTGATACAGCCTGGAATCGTACCAGGGGGTCTGTAGTGACGCCTCAAACGCTGAGATGCAGTGCCTTAGACCGCTGCGCCACTCGGGAGCCCATATGGCTCATTTAGTAGAAAGTTAGCTAGCGGGTTTGGGCATTCCTATGCATCATTAATTTGATCAATATGAGGCAGCAAATATTAACTAAGTAGAATGCATGGTGAGATTGTTGTAAAATGTGGCTAACCAAAAAGTATCGGGCCATAAGTGAATTTGCAAAAAAGCTAGCTAGCTCAGCTAGTAACGTTAGCTGCTAACAAAAGGTAAGCGGCTAACGTTAGCTGGTTATCTAAAGTTAGCTATCTGATACAGAATGCACATACCACTACATCCTCGAATATACTCTGGAGCTGGGTTTCCATTGAAATCGCCATGCTTCAACGATGTACACTTCAATTTACCAATTCATGTCAGAAATCGCATAGGCACTTAGCTCCATTCAATGAGTAAGGATGGATTCTACAGCTATCAGGCTAACGTTTGTTAACCGGAAGTTCGTGCAGCCTTAAAAACAAACCGATATGGCACAGTCAAAATAATACATTGTTCCACGTCTATGGTGCCATTTAATAAAACAATACGATCTACGTTTCAATGGTCTGTGGCATATCTAAAATGAAAATATTAATCAGACTGCTACATTTAATATGTCTAGACCAGTTAACATTATGTAAACGTACTTATGCACAATCATAATGTAAAACATCAACGCCATCAAGAACCTCAAGTGTAGAGTTCCCATTTATGCCACAAGGTGGTGATCTATGACAATTAAATAAACTATTCACACCAGTCAAACAAGTCTTCAAACAGGGTAATATTTGCAATGTGGCAATCACTGCACTGCCATCTCAAGAATGTTGTGGGCCTGTCTATGGTGACCCAAAACAAACAAATATGTACAAGTCATTACAAAAGTTGACACAAATCTGACAGATGTTCCCTACCAGAAAAGTGTTTTTCATATCCATCCTTTAAATGTTAAAACATTTAATCATATCAAATCACATAAATTATAATCCCATAACCTGGATTTAAAAATACATGTTGAAAATAAATATATTTTTGGTGAAAAACACGTTATAACGTAAAGGCCTAGTTTATTTCGTTTTGTGCACAGGTGCTAGTTTGCCGAACTCCTAATTTCTTACAGTAAATAACTCCGCCCATTTCACTTGACTAGGCGACCTGGCCAAGGTAAGGTAAAGCAGAAAAGAATACCACTCTGCGTGAACAACATGGAAGCGATGTGGAAGACACTGTACGGGATACTCGAACTGAATAATTTACTATAGCCTATCGGTTGAAATGTCCATGAAACTCAATTATCCTTTTAAAGGTGTCAAAACTTTTGTTATGACAATGTTATAAACTATTTACCAACAATTCTACGGGAAAGAATGGTAAAATATCTCTACATTATTTCTCTATGGACCGCAGGTAGGCTTCATTTTCATTGGCAGCTCATAATCAATTTAAGAAAATGTTTACTACTGTTGTGCAGTCCAATTTATCACATATCACCTGGAAATGATTTTGAGAACACTTTTTGCACCATTGGCTTGGTTTTATGCCCTATAGACAGTAAACTCAATATTTTGCAACTACAATGTATTATTTGCTACTGTCAAGCTACAGGAATAGTTTTCTGTAGCCAAAAATATATTTATTTTCAACATATATTTTTAAATCCAGGTTATGGGATTATAACTTATGTGATTTGATATGATTAAATGTTTTAACATTTAAAAGATGAATATGAAAAACACTTTTCTGGTAGGGAACATCTGTCAGATTTGTGTCAACTTTTGTAATGACTTGTACATATTTGTTTGTTTTGGGTCACCATAGACAGGCCCACAACATTCTTGAGATGGCAGTGCAGTGATTGCCACATTGCAAATATTTCCCTGTTTGAAGACTTGTTTGACTGGTGTGAATAGTTTATTTAATTGTCATAGATCACCACCTTGTGGCATAAATGGCAACTCTACACTTGAAGTTCTTGATGGCGTTGATGTTTTACATTATGATTGTGCATAAGTACGTTTACATAATTTAAACTGGTCTAGACATATTTTTGGTGAAAAACACTTTATAACGTATAGGCCTAGTTTATTTCGTTATGCGCACAGGTGCTAGTTTGCCGAACTCCTAATTTCTTACAGTAAATAACTCCGCCCATTTCACTTGACTAGGCGACCTGGCCAAGGTAAGGTAAAGCAGAAAAGAATACCACTCTGCGTGAACAACATGGAAGCCATGTGGAAGACACTGTACGGGATACTCGAACTGAATAATTTACTATAGCCTATCGGTTGAAATGTCCATGAAACTCAATTCTCCTTTTAAAGGTGTCAAAACTTTTGTTATGACAATGTTATAAACTATTTACCAACAATTCTACGGGAAAGAATGGTCAAATATCTCTACATTATTTCTCTATGGACCGCAGGTAGGCTTCATTTTCATTGGCAGCTCATAATCAATTTAAGAAAATGTTTACTACTGTTGTGCAGTCCAATTTATCACATATCACCTGGAAATGATTTTGAGAACAATTTTTTGCACCATTGGCTTGGTTTTATGCCCTATAGACAGTATACTCAATATTTTGCAACTACAATGTATTATTTGCTACTGTCAAGCTACAGGAATAGTTCAGCTGTCATTGTTCAAGTTGTTTCCCCCTTCTCCCTTAAAAAGTCATTTTAAGTATGTTTAACCAATGTAATACGTTTTTGTCATTTTGGAACTCACCCAAACACCCTCAACATTATGTGGGTGTCATTTATTTTGGTTTACTTTTGTTTTCACTCACTTTACTTGTGCTTGATGTGGAACCTCACTCTAACTGTATTTTCCATCAGCCTACCCAGCATATGTAGATAATGAGTTGAAATTGAGAACAAGAAAAGTGTTACATTTCATAATAAGTTGATACTCAAGACATTGATTACAACAATTTCAAAAGGTTGTTGGCATGCATACAGAAAAACAAACAGCGCTCAATGACATTTATGATGCAGTGAATAGGGTTCATTTTCTTTTTATCTAATCATGAGGTGTCCTTGAATGACGTGATCGTGTGGTGTTCTGAAACACACAGGAAACCAAGGTGTTGTCTCGTGCAGTCAGGGGGAAAGAAGGGTGTATTTTTGAGGGTTTATGAAATCTTTTATCTCTCAAATGTCATCACAACAACATCCTGTTCTATATCATGTTTATTTTCAGTCTCCAACTATAACTTTTAAGACAGAAAGAAGATGAAGAAGAAGGGTCTAATTCTCTCTCTTCATTTCTCTATAATATTGTTGTATTGTATTATTTTAGAACTGTTTACTGTTTAATGAGTGACGCTCCAGTTGACGTTTTGAAATGCCCTTGGCATTTGATCATCTGCTTTGTGCTCTTTCTCCTTTCTTAGTGGTCTCACACGGGTCCTCTGTAGCGCGTCCCGAAGGAGTTCACTTCAACTCCATGAACCTGAGGAACATTGTAAAATGGCATCCTGGGAAAGACACACCAAATGACACACACTACACAGTGGAGTATGCAATGTGAGGACACTTTAGACTTTATCATGATCTCGGCACCCAGAACCAAATCAGCTACTCGGTTTTGTCACGAGAGACTGAGCTTTCCATGAACTACTTGTAAATAAATGTCCATGATCTATGGATTTAAGGACACATCTCATTATGTGTTTGTTTGTTGTCTCCTAGCTATGGTGACCGGGTGGATGGTGGAGCGAGACAGGTGCGCTGGAGGGTGAAGAAGCAGTGCAGAGACATCCCTCAGACCTGGTGTGATCTATCCAATGAGACAACTGACCTGGATGAAGGCTACTTTGCCAGAGTCAAGGCTGTGGGCAAAATCAGATCCTCCAAATGGACACTCACAGAAAAGAGGTTTGAACCCAAAACTGACAGTAAGTTGGGATCAAATTTTATTTGTCACATACACGTGTTTAGCAGATGTTATTGCGGGTCTAGCAAAATGCTTGTGCTTCTAGCTCCGACAGTATAGTAATATCTAACAAGTAATATCTAACAATTTCACAACATATACCCAATACACACAAATCTAAGTAAGGAATGGAATTAAGATTATATACAGTACCAGTCAAAAGTTTGGACACACCTACTCATTCAAGGGGTTTTCTTTATTTTTTATTTTTTTTTACATTGAAGAATAATAGTGAAGACATCAAAACTATGAAATAACACATATGGAATCATGTAGTAACCAAAAAAGTGTTAGACAAATCAAAATATATTTTATATTTGAGATTCTTCATATAGCCACCCTTTGCCTTGATGACAGCTTTGCACATTCTTGGCATTCTCTCAACCAGCTTCATGAGTTAGTCACCTTGAATGCATTTAAATTAACAGGTGTGCCTTCTTAAAAGTTAATTTGTGGAATTTATTTCCTTCTTAATGCATTAGAGCCAATCAGCTGGGGGGGGGGGGGGGGGGGGGGGGGGGTATACAGAAGATAGCCCAAGTCCATATTATGGCAAGAACAGCTCAAATAACCAAAGAGAAACGACAGTCCATCATTACTTTAAGACATGAAGGTCAGTCAATACTGAACATTTCAAGAACTTTGAAAGTTTCTTCAAGTGCAGTCGCAAAAACCATCGAGCGCTATGATGAAAGTGGCTCTCATGAGGACCGCCACAGGAATGGAAGACCCAGAGTTACCTCAGCTGCAGAGGATAAGTTCATTAGAGTTACCAGCCTCAGAAATTGCAGCCCAAATAAATGCTTCACCAAGTTCAAGTAACAGACACATCTCAACATCAACTGTTCAGAGGGGACTGTGTGAATCAGACCTTCGTGGTCGAATTGCTGCAAATAAACCACTACTAAAGGACACCAATAATAAGAAGAGACTTGCTTGGGCCAAGAAACACAAGCAATGGACATTAGACCGGTGGAAATTTGTCCTTTGGTCTGGAGTCCAAATTTGAGATTTTTGGTTCCAACCGCTGTGTCTTTGTGAGACGCGGTGTGGGTGAACGGATGATCTCCGCATGTGTAGTTACCACCGTAAAGCATGGAGGAGGAGGTGTTATGGTGTGTGGGTGCTTTGCTGGTGACACTGTCTGTGATTTATTTAGAATTCAAAGCACACTTAACCAGCATGGCTACCACAGCATTCTGCAGCGATACATGTGCAGAGGCTGAAGAGGCTCTGTTGCGCCTTCTTCACCACACTGTCTGTGTGGGTGGACCATTTCAGTTTGTCAGTGATGTGTATGCCATTTTCTTTATCTTTGAAAGAGGAGCCAAAGTGAAACACTCAATCAGAGAATGTGTCAGGCCACATATGATAAGATTGTTATACTTTTCTCCAACAGCAACCTTTGGACCTCCACTTGTAAAACTTGTGGTGAAGGAGAATAGTGTTACCGTTAAGCTGAAGGGTCCAATGAGATGGAAGACTGGGAACATTACAAAATATTACTCCTTGTTGAAATTCTACCCTCAGATGACATACAACCTGTCTGTGTACGACAACAGAAGCAACAAAACGGTTGGTGTTACTTAGGTTACTGTAACTCTGTGTAAATAAATAAATGACATAATATGTTGGACTGTCTGCAGGGACTTTAATCAGTGCAAATTGCTGCATTAATAGATTATAATCAGCAATTATATATTTTGTGTATAAGGGTAATTATGTTATAATGCAGATTAATTATGAGTGTTAGTTCTATATTGTGTATTTTAACTTTCTGTATACATTTTGTCTTTCAGCAACACTTCACCGTGGAAAACAGATCCTTTGAATATAGGCTGCTTGCCTATGAAACCCAATATTGTTTCTCTGCTAAGGCCCAGTTCCTATCACTTCTTTTAGCTTGTCATGCATCTGAATGGCAGTGCATAACAACCCCAAAAGGTAAGATAATACTTGATTTAATCTTGCTCCAATTACCTAGCATGCAGTGTTCTTTTCTATTACATGCATTTACTGTATGTCTGTCTGTAAGGATACATCTACTCAACAAGTTTTGGTACAGCACAGCAAAAAAATCAAGAAGACAACTTTAGGTGTTTTCCCAGGGTGTAGTTTCTCTTCCTGCTAGAGTAGGAATTATTTAGAAGTTTCAAGGGGTGTGTGTGTGCTAGTGAGTGTGTGTTTGTCTTCTCAGCTGTATCCTATGAGCTTTCCCTTTCCTATAACGGCTGTGTACTGTATAGATCTGCCTTATTTTATCTCTACAGATCCCTTTTATGGCCAGCTGCTACTGATGTTGATGGGAGCAGTTGTCCCATCAGTCATCTGCCTCTTCATGCTGATGCTGGTCGGATGCCTTGTCTACCACTTTGTCTGTGGTAATAAACAGAAAAGGCCCCCTTTCCTGGTAATAATTATATGTGACTTATATGTGACTAATAGAAGCCTTCAACAATGGCTATGAAGTGTAGTTTACTAAGATGCATGTCCACCTTTTTCCTGTTTCAGGAAATATCGGACATTCAGAACCCACCGCAGACCTTCTGTCCTGAGCAGGCTGTGACAGTGAATGTGGTACTGGTTAACATGGCCAAGCCCATGGAGATGATGCCCATAAAGCCCAACACTATCCCTGCCCTCATCCACCAGTCAGAGGGGGAGCCCATACTACCCTACGCTGCCCAGCAAGCCCCTGGCATAGAGGATTCTCAGGAGGGATCATGGGAAGATGAGTTCAGGGAGGCCCAACCAGAGCCCCTAGACTACGGCTTCGTTGGAGCGGCCCCAAAGATTCCGGAAGTGAGGAAAAGTGAGGCATCTGACAGTGAGGAAACCCTGCCGCTGCGTCTCAGCCAGGTCAACCTGTACATAGCACAGAGATCTGCACCATGTTCACAGGGGCCTGTGGCGACAGGGCTGTTTAGAATTCCACTGCTGTCTGGTATAAAGATGGGGGCGGAGAGCACGAGTTACAAAGAGCCTGATCGCGTGGGTCCCTACGCACCGCAGCACTTCTCGGTCAGAGAGACCCCTGAGGTGGACCTTTGGGAAGACAAGGCTGAGGAGCCCCAAAGTTACCCCTCAGACTACAGCTTTGTGAGGGCAGCACTGGAGCAGCAGGTGGTGACAACAGAGTTCCAGACACAGTCTAACAGGAGTGATACTCAGCCCCTGCGGCTAGCCCAAGTCAACCTGTATAGAACCCAGAGGCATGCACTGTTTCCACAGGAGTCTGAGGAAGAGGACGGATCTGGTGGTAACTGTGTTGACTGGAGCCCTACAACAGGTATCCTCCAGATCCCTCTGCTCTCCGAACATATTCCAGAGGTGGAGGTGGAGGGAGAGACGAACAGGGAGTTAGAGCAGGTGGAGATCTTACCCTCTGTGGTAGTGAGGCAATCAGAGGAGAGTGAGGGTGAGAGTGATCTGACTAAACTACAGAACAACTGGAGGCTAGTGGTCAACATGGAAGAGTAACCTATTGGACAATTACACTGGGATTTGGGGGACACACTATTACAGAGTGGTATTGCTATTCATAATGGCAATTTGTTTATGTTTACCATATGTGGAAAAGTTGCCAGTTCAAATGAAGGAAATATTTTTAACTAATACGTATCGCTTTGTAACTGCTTTAGCACTGTGATTGTAACTAACATATTTTTGAGAAAGGTTTTGTTTACTTTGTACCTTTTTATCCATACTTTTCTACTAACTTATTACGATTGATGTAATGCCAGATAGCTTTTTTTGTGTACAACTTCATACAAAGTTTATATGAAGGCACATGCAATTTCACTTTACCTCATGATGATTAACAACCAGGAAGGAGTGTGGCTGTAATAGTCTCTAACCATGTTGTTTTATAACACACTAAAGCTTACTGTCCTCAACCTGCAAAGTACATTATGTACAATATGTACTTCCCTCTGACTATGAAGACAAAGCTTTTCAGGGAAATCGTTGGACTGACCGGTCTATGCAAATGAAGGATATATTAGTTTTTTCCTCAAATATTTGACACTTTGATGTCATACAATCACTGTTAACCGATTTGTTCCCACATTTTCCCCAGGCATGCCACTATGCAAATCTTATGCCATTAGTAACCGTAACATGTAATCCATATTGCTTTTGTTATTTTTATTTTTTAAAAGTATGTTTTATTCTTGGTCACAATTGTGACCGATGGGAACATACAGTGCTCTGCCTATAATAAAATTAATAGACAATTAGCCCTATTTCTCAGCCCCAATATCTATATACCTCTTAATTTTATTTATTTATTGTCACATACACCAGATAGGTGCAATGAAATGTGTTGTTTTTACAGGGTCAGCCATAGTTGTACGGCACCCCTGGAGCAAATTAGGGTTAAGTGCCTTGCTCAAGAGCACGTCGACAGATCTTTCACTGTGTCGGCTTGGGTATTCGAACCAGCGACCTTTCGGTTACAGGCCCAACGCTCTAACCGCTAGGGGCAACTTGCTGGCCTTACTGCCACCCTTACTTACCCACACACCCCAGCCCTGTTACCCCCATGCCCTAACCCTAACACCCACATGCCAATACCCTAATATTTATACAATCAAGTACACATATCCTAGCCATAAATGCCATATTTTTTACTCATAGACCCCAGTTCCTTTGCAAATGCACCTCATCCCTGTTACTTGCCTATCTCAGCCCTGTTACCCACTTTCATCAGGCCTGTATTCTCCAAGTCACCAACAGTAACCTATATCCAGCTATTCACTGCATACCCCAACCCTGTTATTTGCATATCTTAGTCCTGTGACCTCTGACCTGTACAGTGGGGAGAACAAGTATTTGATACACTGCCGATTTTGCAGGTTTTCCTACTTACAAAGCATGTAGAGGTCTGTAATTTTTATCATAGGTACACTTAAACTGTGAGAGATGGAAAAATCCAGAAAATCAAATTGTATGATTTTTAAGTAATTAATTTGCATTTTATTGCATGACATAAGTATTTGATACATCAGAAAAGCAGAACATAATATTTGGTACAGAAACCTTTGTTTGCAATTACAGAGATCATACGTTTCCTGTAGGTCTTGACCAGGTTTGCACACACTGCAGCAGGGATTTTGGCCCACTCCATACAGACCTTCTCCAGATCCTTCAGGTTTCGGGGCTGTCGCTGGGCAATACGGACTTTCAGCTCCCTCCAAAGATTTTCTATTGGGTTCAGGTCTGGAGACTGGCTAGGCCACTCCAGGACCTTGAGATGCTTCTTACGGAGCCACTCCTTAGTTGCCCTGGCTGTGTGTTTCGGGTTGTTGTCATGCTGGAAGACCCAGCCACGACCCATCTTAAATGCTCTTACTGAGGGAAGGAGGTTGTTGGCCAAGATCTCGCGATACATGGCCCCATCCATCCTCCCCTCAATACGGTGCAGTCGTCCTGTCCCCTTTGCAGAAAAGCATCCCCAAAGAATGATGTTTCCACCTCCATGCTTCACGGTTGGGATGGTGTTTTGGGGTTGTACTCATCCTTCTTCTTCCTCCAAACACAGCGAGTGGAGTTTAGACCAAAAAGCAATATTTTTGTCTCATCAGACCACATGACCTTCACCCATTCCTTCTCTGGATCATCCAGATGGTCAATGGCAAACTTCAGACGGGCCTGGACATGCGCTGGCTTGAGCAGGGGGACCTTGCGTGCGCTGCAGGATTTTAATCCATGACGGCATAGTGTGTTACTAATGGTTTTCTTTGAGACTGTGGTCCCAGCTCTCTTCAGGTCATTGACCAGGTCCTGCCGTGTAGTTCTGGGCTGATCCCTCACCTTCCTCATGATCATTGATGCCCCACGAGGTGAGATCTTGCATGGAGCCCCAGACCGAGAGTGATTGACCGTCATCTTGAACTTCTTCCATTTTCTAATAATTGCGCCAACAGTTGTTGCCTTCTCACCAAGCTGCTTGCCTATTGTCCTGTAGCCCATCCCAGCCTTGTGCAGGTCTACAATTGTATCCCTGATGTCCTTACACAGCTCTCTGGTCTTGGCCATTGTGGAGAGGTTGGAGTCTGTTTGATTGAGTGTGTGGACAGGTGTCTTTTATACAGGTAACGAGTTCAAACAGGTGCAGTTAATACAGGTAATGAGGGAGAACAGGAGGGCTTCTTAAAGAAAAACTAACAGGTCTGTGAGAGCCGGAATTCTTACTGGTTGGTAGGTGATCAAATACTTATGTCATGCAATAAAATGCAAATTAATTACTTAAAAATCATACAATGTGATTTTCTAGATTTTTGTTTTAGATTCCGTCTCTCACAGTTGAAGTGTACCTATGATAAAAATGACAGACCTCTACATGCTTTGTAAGTAGGAAAACCTGCAAAATCGGCAGTGTATCAAATACTTGTTCTCCCCACTGTATATGCTAATAATTTCATAGATAAAATCATAGTACAGTGATATAACAGCCCCATTCACTTTTTTTCTACCACAAAATTGTTGCCAGAAAGTATTTGAATGGGCAATAGACGTCCATCCAGACCCATTACCTGTATGTGTGTATCCCTACACCCCATTACTCATATAAACCAGGTAGATCCATGGGCATACTCATATAAAACAGGTCTAACCTAGTGCCCAATCCTCAACATTCATACAAACCTGGTCTACACTTGTACTTCAGCCCCAATATTCTTACAGACCAGGTGTACACCTGCAAGTCTAACCCAATATTATTTTTATTTTTAAAAGGTCTACTGCTACGTGTTAGCCCCAATTGTCATACAAATAAGTGTACTTCTGCATTTCAGACCCAATATTCATACAAACCAGGTCTACGCCTGTACTTCAGATCCAATTTACATACCTACAAAGTCTGCACCTGTGCTTGAACTCAATTAGTCAACAAAGCCAGGTCTAAATGTGCTGAAGCCTGAATTCTCATAAACTGTAAACCAGGTCTACCGCTGAACCTCAGCTCCAGTACTCCTACAAACCAGGTCTACACCTTTGACCGAGTCCCAATACTAATATAAACCAGATCTACACTAATTCAGTATTATGGGTCTATATATGGCCAATTCCTTCTGAAATATGACGTTTTACAGTCAAAATCAGTGATTGAAATATTTGTAAAGGCTAATGGGTAATGGTAAAATCATATGTAAGATCATCTTGATCAAGTATATTCATAACTCAACTCAACTTCAATCTACTGATTAAATACACTATACATACAAAAGTATGTGGAAACCCCTTCAAATTAGTGGATTAGGCTATTTCAGCCACACCCGTTGCTGACAGGTGTATAACATTTCTGCGCTGCTTGAGCTGCCCCGGTCAACTGTAAGTATTGTTATTGTGAAGTGGAAACATGTAGGAGAAACAAGGGCTCAGCCGGGAAGTGGTAGGCCACAAAAAAATGGGACCGGCGAGTGCTGAAGCTCGTAGCGCGTAAAAATCGCCTGTCCTCGGTTGCAACACTCACTACCGAGTTCCAAACTACCTCTGAACGTCAGCACAATAACTGTTCATTGGGAGCTTCATGAAAATTCCATGGCCAAGCAGAATGAATCACGCTTCACCATCTGGTAGTCGGACGGACGAATCTGGGTTTGGCGGATGCCAGGAGAAGGCTACCTGCCAGAATGCATAGTGTCACTGTAAAGTTTGGTGGAGGAGGAATAATGGTCTGGGGCTGTTTTTCTTGGTTCAAGCTAGGCCCCTTAGTTCCAGTGAAGGGAAATCTTAACGCTCCACATTCTAGACGATCCTGTGCTTCTAACTTTGTGGCAACAGTTTGGGGAAGGCCCTTTCCTGTTCCAGCATGACAATGCCCCCGTGCACAAAGCGAGGTCCATACAGAAATGGTTTGTCGAGATCGGTGTGGAAGAACTTGACTGACTTGCACAGAGCACTGACCTCAACACCATCAAACACCTTTGGGATGAATTGAAACGCCAGGCCTAATCACCCAACATCAGTGTCCGACCTCACTGATGCTCTTGTGACTGAATGGAAGCAAGTCCCCGCAGCAGTGGAAAGCCTTCCCAGAAGAGTGGAGGCTGTTATAGCAACAAAGGGGGGACCAACTCCATATTAATGACCATGATTTTGGAATGAGATGTTCGACGAGCAGGTGTCCACATACTTTTTGTCATGTAGTGTATATATAAAAAGTTAGAGCCACTGTATTTTTCCCGTTGGTCACAAATGTGAGCGCTATACCATGAGCATCATGCATTCAATGCATTTAAAATGAAATAACATATTTAAACTAGACCCTGTAGACATATAAAATATTTAAACAATTTAAACAATGTATTTGTTTTTTAAGCTGTTGAATACAGACTTCTGGTGCCAAATTCGTCTGTAAAATGACATATTGGAAGGCCTGCCGAGTGGCGCTGGGTCGTGTTTCGGAGGACGCATGGCTCTCGACCTTCGCCTCTCCCGAGTCCATAGGGGAGTTGCAGCGATGGAACAAGACTGTAACTACCAATTGGATATCATGAAAAAGGGGTAAAAGTACACATTGGAGATTTATGCTTGTGGTCTTGTGACCATTTTGAGAAATAATTTGAAACTTCTCTGAATCATACTAGACACCTTAATAACACATAATATGTTACTTATTTGTTGATAAGTACAACTTTAACTTCTCTAGAGCTTATAAAGTATCAACGTTTTTTTTTCTTCTCACTATTGTGACCGAAGGGATAAAAATCGGTTAACTGTATTCAGGGTGAGGTTAGATGCCTTGGATTATACTCCTAGCACATGGAGGTAATATTAACTTTACAATGTAACCTGACTGTTAAAAGCACTTCATCATTTGTCGTTTGTTGCTTTTTCTTTCCTAACTATACTGAACACAAATATAAACGCAACATGCACCAATTTCAAAGATTTTGAGTTACAGTTCATATAAGGAAATCAGTCAATTTAAATAAATTCATTAGGCTCTAGTCTATGGATTTCACATGACTGGGCAGGGGAGCAGCCATGGGTGGGCCTGGTAAGGCATAGGCCCACCCATTTGGGATCCAGGCCCAGCCAATCAGAATGAGTTTTTCCCCACAAAAGGGCTTTGTTACAGACAGAAATACTCCTCGGCACTAAAGGACAAAATGCTCACTAACAGGGATGTAAACAAATTTCAGTACAAAATTCTTGAGAAATCATATTTTTGTGCTTATGGAACATTTCTGGGATCTTTTATTTCAGC